ATTCAATGAAGGACCAATATGCTGTCCCAGCCCAACAACCCATATTCTGGTCTTGTACACCTACCTTTAGAGAAATCTAGTGTGTGGGTTCCAAATGAAAGCTTTTACAGAACCACTGCCCTTTTACTCTCTTAGTACCAAGAAACACATTTTATGCTTCTCCTATCTTGTAAATCTCAACCATTGTGTTCTTTTATCTTATGTATTTTGTCAGAGCACACTCCTGAAATCTGGCTTCTACATTGTCACTTCTGCTGAAATGTCGGCAGTTATTTTTTTAAATTTTTTTTTAATTAAAGTTGATTTTCTGCTTCCTATAGTAACTGCAGAACCTTCTGGGACTGTAAGAGTTAACAAGCACGTTGTAGGATGTGACTAATTAAGGACTTGTGAAATTGAATGTTTTGGGTGTGCAGATATTACAGCCTAGCTGTAAACCACATCATACATGCCGATCACCCTTTTTCAGCACACACACACACATAAAAAAGAATACAGGATATGCCAGCAACTCTTAAATCTCAGGACAGTACCTGGTGCTTATTTTAGGCTTGGTTGACCTTCAAGCTAGAGTTGAGCCCCTAAGAAACCTCAGTGGGGTGCAAGGAAGTTTCAAAGGAGTGCGGGAAATCCGCAATTTACATGTGACTGAGGCCCTGTTAGGTTATATTTTCGGCCTTGATAATTTGTGACCGTTATTCGGAAGATAGCCGATTTTTCTTTTCGTCCGCCTCTTTTTTAATCACAAAATTTTTTTTAAGTTAGATGGAGAAAGGGGTGGGGGAGAATAGGGGTCTTGCAACATATCCCAGGGGGCATCAGCTATAGGTCTAGCTCAGTGGTTCTCAAACTGTCTAATGCCCCGACCCTTTAATAAAGTTCCTCATGTTGTAGCGACCCCCAACCATACAGTTATTTTAGTTACTACTTCATAGATTCAATGAATATGTGTTTTCCTATGGTCCTGGTGACCTCTGTGTAAAGGTCGCTGACTCAAAAAAAAAGGGTTGCGACCAACAGGTTGAGAACCAATAGTCTACCCATTGCCGTAAAATACAGCTGCCAAGAAATGAAGTAAGCAAACAAAACACTATTGGAAAGAATCCCTTTTATGTGCAGATAGCTTTTAAAAAATACTCTTTCAATCCCCAAAAGTTTTGCAGCAGATAATTAATAGGTGAAAACATTTTCTGTGAAAAAGCAATAGTGCATTACTTTCAAAGGGGCTAAATACATAGCGGAAATGGCAACTGAGGAAACCATATTACTTTATTATGCACTTATCAAATGTACAAAGTAAGAGAACACATGATGCTATGGTTGGGATTCAACAGGGAGAGATAATCACACAGCACTCAATGACTAAGACTGAAAACAAGTCAATGAAACAACAAAATTGCAGGAATCCACTGCAGCTCGTAGATACACAACCGTAACAGTTACAGTATGATGGTCAGGTTATTAAATAACATATATGCGTACAAAAATGTCAGTGTCAGCAATTTTACTTCTTCTTCAGCATTCCCAGCTTTTAAGGTTCAGTGCTGCAGATATCACTGCCTCCATCATCACTGTGACTGTCCTTTTTTCCCGTTGGTGACTGTTTTTGTAGATCTGCCTCTATATAATATTATCTCTCCACCGTCAACTTGGTCGGATTCGTGGACTTTTCCTATTCAACTCTTTTGGGTTCACAGTTTTGTTTTTCTGTTATCACAAACCAATGCAGTCTTTTAGTCATTATAATGCCAGTAAATAGTGGCGATTTAAACAGCTTGTTAATTGCATTCAAGAGGCTGATTAACTCCTCTTTCCAACACTTTATAGCCATGGTTCTCAACCTTCCTAATGCCATGTTCAGCATGTTGTGGTGAACCCCCCAACCATAAAATTATTTTCGTTGCTACCTCATAACTTCAGTGAAAATGTGTTTTACGATAGTCTTAGGTGACCTCTGTGAAAGGACTGTTCAACCCCCAAATAGATCGCAACCCACAGGCTTAGAACTGCTTCTTTATGGCGTAAACCGTAAAACAAAAAAAAACAAATCAAAAGTTTAATGTTACTGATGCTTCTAATTTTTCATTCTCCTCTGCTTCTCTGACCCGTTCAAAGATTCATTAGAGGACTCTTTTCCCTCAAGTTTGTTATCTTCTTCTTTGCATCCACTGGCTGTAAACTTCAGCAGAAAGTTTTGGCTGTTAGTCCATTCCTGAACTTGTTCCAGAAACTGAGTTTTGCGTGCACATCTGTTTTACAGATCTGACTTATTTGTATGCAAACTACTGGTCTACTTGTCTCTCTGGCAGATGCATTCCGACTTTAAAAAAACTTCTAATTAGTAGACTCTTATGACATGCTTGTTAGAGAGGCAGTAGTCTATTCTTGTTTTCCAACAACTTCGGCCCGAGAATCCACATGGGGATAAGGCTTCATCTGTTTTAGTTATACTCCAGGTCTCAGAATCAATTACCTTGCTGAAAATCTCCATCACAGTGCCAGAATGCAGTCGGTTATTTATACCAAATTTGTCATTTAAATACAAGAAAATACACAAAAGGTTTAAAACATATTGTACATACAGAATTTCTCTTCACATATCAATTTATTTCTGGAATTAACCAGCACGTCTGATACAATTATAAATATTTTTTCTTCCACACAAACAATTAACGCATATGCTTCCCCACAAATTCAAATATCTATTTATTCTATTATTATAAATAATGTACCTACACTTCCCTACAATTATAAATATCTACTTTTTCCAAAAACGACTTCTAGTTAGTCATCATTGGCAGTTCCAATTTCACAGCAAACAGGTAACCCCATAATTGATCCATTCTGTGCCTGCGAAAACACACAAAGTATGCCTGCTATTGTCCCATGTGAACACACTGAAAGAGTGTGTGTCCTATGTGTATTATGTGTCCTGCAAAACATCAGCATATCCATGCAATAATGCATACAGCAGCCATCACAAGTGCCAACGCAAACAGTCTGCCAAAGAATTTGAATTCATAGTCAATGGAAGCAGCAGTTGCAATACATCAGCAGTTGTGCATATAATATTGCATAAGGCATTTTCCGAATCTGCATTTCCCAACACATCACTGCGAGGACAGTCAAAAGGAATTCAAATCTTGGGTACAGTTGAATAGCAAATCCAAATAAAATTCACAGCCCATGGTGTGGGACTATGCAGACAATTCAGTAGTTGGGCAAAGGAACTGTGTACTTTTAGCCTAGACATGGAGAAAACGCAACAGCAAACCATGGCCAAAAGCAAACAATATGCCAATACTTTATGTTCGGTTTGACTATCTGCTATAGTGGAGCAGACACCAAATAATTATTTCTGCCAACCATGATAAATAATATGGCTTTAAAAAAATAATTTAGTAATCACAAATAATTCGAGCATCTGTACCTCCTACTTATCCCAGTAATATGGGCTTCTTTATCTTTCAATAATTATAAATAATACAAATGTGAGCCAACATAAATAATATGGACTTCTGTTTACTTCACAAGCGAATAGAGCTTCCACATAAAAAAAAATATAGGTGCTTTATTAATATCCTACCCTAGATGATGTCACATGACATTTTCGAGGATGGTAAGCCTGGGTTTTCCGGCTTTCTGATGCTTTTAACGACCCCAAAACATCTTGAACTGGCCCTAACCCCAACCCACCTACGTCCCACAAGAGAGTGCAGCCTAGGTCCCATGACTGCATGCAGCCTATCTACCACCCCCTAAAATATTAGATTGTCCTGTGACCTGTGGATTTCCCCTGTTTGGGGTAGGATATTAATAAAGCACCAAAAAACTGTGGGTCAAATTTATCCAACAGTCATAAATAATGTGCCTTTTTTTGTCTACATTTATGAACAGTGTGGACATGCATTTTCTTATGGTTAAAATATTGTAGGCTTCTATTTTTCTTCAGTAATGTGGACTTCTCTCTCCATCAACAATGTGGACTTCTCTTTCCAACAATAATGTGGGCTTCTCTTTCCAACAATAATGTGGGCTTGTCTTTCCATCAACAATGTGGACTTCTCTTTCCAACAATAATGTGGGCTTCTCTGTCCAACAACAATGTGGGCTTCTCTTTCCAACAATAATGTGGACTTCTCTTTCTAACAATAATGTGGACTTCTCTTTCCAACAATAATGTGGGCTTCTCTTTCCAACAATAATGTGGACTTCTCTTTCCAACAATAATGTGGGCTTCTCTTTCCAACAATAATGTGGGCTTTCAAGTCTTTTTATAAAGAATAATGCAAGTTCTTATTTCCTAAAATTCTAAATAAATAGTGTAAACTTACAATTCTCACTTCATATGTTAAAAAAATGTGTGCCTGTTTCATTTAAATATAGAGTGGGCTTCTATTTAATGCAATTATACATAATGTGGGCTTCAATTTCTGTCCATTATAAATAATGTCAACTTGTTTTTTTTTGTGTATATATATATATAAAAAAAAAATGCAAGCTTCTAATTCTATCTTATAAATAACAGTCTTCTATTTCCCTTTATAATCATCAGCAATGTGGGCTTCCATTTCTTCTTATAATAATTAATGGAAGCTGCTATTTATTACCATTATAAATTTCTGGACTTGTGCTTTTCCCAATAGCTATAAAAAAAATGGTTCTTAAGATCACAAATAATGTAGGCTTCCATTTCTTCCAAAAACCTGGCAAGAAACAGCATAGTGTAAACACATGCCAGGAAGGCAAACTGTGATGTAATGATTATTCAAGCAGTAGCAGTGCTGCCTGTGCTGATCGACTGACTGTGAACAGCTGATACCCTTCCTGAGCTTGCAGTGTAATATGAAACAAAGCACAGTCACACCAATCATGTCCTCGGCTTTCAGAAGTGCATCATAATCCTGTGAAGTCTAAATGTTACTTTCTTGGCAGTTGAAGCATGCACTGAGAGACATAGATTAAAGCATTGGTTTGCTTGTGTGCAGGGCGAAACTTGGTTATGGGTCATCAGTGCTGATGTAGTCACCCCTGGCATTGAGTCTTTCCAGACTTGTTCGAATCCTGTTGAAGGTGGGTCTTTCTTGAGGAAGCTGTATATGAGAAGAAATATAAGTGAGAACTAAGTGACAACTGGCCAACTGTATGAAGTTTGAAGTTTGAACAACGGATCAACATCATGGCGCACGGTTAGTAACCCATAAGTGCTCCGTTCTTCTTTTAAGTCTGAGTCTGAAGAATCTCAGCACAGGCTCTGTATCACCAACGAGCATCCTGAAATACTTTGGGTAGATTTTTAACTCCAAATGTAGCACCGTTAGGCTACTTTTTTCGATTTCCAACTGCCAAGGGATTTTTTTTTTTACGTGCGCAACAATGCACACATAATCCTATCTCACTACTTAGAGACCAGGGAGAATTCCTAGAAGTCCCCAAGTGCACGTGAAAAAATCCCAGCCCTGACCAGGGATTGAACCCTGGTCCTCTAGCACTCGAGGTGGACACCCTGCCTCGAGACCACGCAACTTTATGAGCAAAGGCCAAAAAGTAGACAAAGAGACTCTTCTGTTTGTGTTCAACCTTTCCGTATCATCACACCCACTGCTCCTTCACTAGCATGTGGTAAAAGGTTACTGAGAATGTGTTGGGCTGAAACAGTGTAGAATGTAAACCACAGCACAGCGCGCTAACGCCTTACTCTTTGGGTCCCAAGGAACATCACACATTCATAGGTTCCTAGCTAAAAGCCCAGTTAATGCATGATGCACAGTTTTTATGTCTCTTTACTACCGGTTGGGCCTGTTATGCTAAATCAACTGGGACTCAAAGAATTAAGGGTGAGCATATTTACTTTTTTACTAAATTAAAAAAAAAATTTAAATTTTAAAAACTTTGGGCATACCCACAATTGCTCAGTCTCCCACAGCAAATGTCTTAAGGTGTAGATGCCAACTGTTCCTGTCGCACACTGATTATGCACATCATCCTCTTTCTCTTATATGCCCCCCACTCCCCGGCAAAACAAAGAATTAACGACACAGGATGGCTTGGCCAAGTGGGAGTTACAGTAGCATAGTGGCAAGTAAGCTTGCCTGCCAGATCAGTAGTCATAAATTCACAGCTCCTTGTCAACCCAGCCTCAATTGGGTACTAGCCCTGGGCAATGAAGGTTGTCAGTGCAATCCTGAGAACTTTATACCTCATCTTCTTCTGTGTTCGACCTTAAGAGGTCGTCAGTGCAATGTCTTGAGTTTTACAGCGAGGCTGCAATATCTGTGCCTTTTGACCCAATATAGCCTATTTCAGCAAAACTACCAATTAGGTGCTGTTTTACAATGTGCTTTTCCAGGGAATATATATTCCTTTTTTTCTCCTCCCAAAATGTTGAATTAACATCACAGCACTCATAGCACTCCCATTAGTGCTCCCATAAGTGCTCCTTCCCCTATCTTCAGAAGCAAGTAGTAACTGCCTGAGTGTATATCCACCTCACTTTTCCCTTGAGTGTTGAGTGTCGACCAGATCCCCTGGCACAATAAATGCATTTTCCCTCCAAAATGAGGTCCCAGCTCCCACACATGGAATCGCCCACAAACTGTGATTAGCCTTTCAATCCTCCACTCCGAATGAACGCATCATACGTTTATAGGTTCCTACTCAGAAACCCAGTAACAAAAGATGGGATGACTGTAAAATAATCTACAAACTGTTAATGATACATTTTATACAGAACAACACAACATATTTTTATAGAACAACACAACAGATGATAACAGTTTTTACAGAGCACACAACAGATGATAACAGTTTTTACAGAACACACCACAGATGATAACAGTTTTTACAGAGCACACAACAGATGATAACAGTTTTTACAGAACACACCACAGATGATAACAGTTTTTTTTACAGAACACACAACAGATAATAAACACATTATAGAGAACAATAGAACAGATGAACACTTTACCCAGAGCCATACATTAGATGATGAACACTTTACACAGAACAAGATGACAGATGAACACTCTGCAGAGAACAATAGAACAGATGAATACCTTAAACAGAACACAAGAGATGATGAACAAGTTATACAGAGCAGAACAACAGATAATAAATACTTATATATAACACAACAACATACAGACTCTTTACACAGAACATCAACAGGTGATAAACAACTTACAAAGAACAATATGACAGATGAGGAACACTCTATAAAGAACAGCACAGCAGATGAAGACTTTATGAAGAACAGCACAGTAGATGAACACAAGAGATGAACAACACCTGCATGCAACACTAAACAGCATTAAGAGGAAAGGTGGAGTAACTGGCACCCCTGATTAGATATGACTAAATCTGTAGCAACAATGATAACACAAAATCCACTGGATATACTACTTACAGCAGCCCAGCACTGTTTCATAACCTCATACACTGGAACAGGAGCTGCCCTTGGCTTCTCCAACCTCTTCCCCTCCTCAGCCACAAACTTCAGCACCTCAGGGTTTCTCATGCCACTGTAAGGCATTTCTCCAAAGGAGTAGATTTCCCACAACAGGATACCTGTAAAGAAAAAAGTGCATCAGTAATTTATACAGGTTCAAATAACTTTTCTTCCAATAAAATTTGCCCCCTTTAAAGAATTTAACTCTTTCACTCCAAGAAACCTAAATCTAGCTACTTCTGGGCTGCAACATAGTCCACTTAAATATGGATGTGTCAGCATTTCTGCAGTGACATGTTCTAGAAAAGTCTAGTTAAAAGCCACTGGTTCTATCTGCATCTGTGTAGCATTTAGGAGACCCAGATTTGAATATTTACAGGGTTCATAGCCAAATTATTTCTGAGTGGGTTCCGTGGCCCCATTGTGGGGGGAAAACCAGAATAAACCCAGTGCCTCCCCAACCAGCATCTTGACTAATTGGGGGCTTCCTTCAAAGTCGGAGTGCATCTGCCCAAAAGGCAAGGAACCAACAGTCTGCATGCGAGTAAGCAAGATTTGTAAAACGGCTGCACCTGCAAAACTCAGGTCCTGGAACAAAATTAAAGTACAGAAAAGGACAAACAACCAAGTCTTTCTGTCGGAGTTTATAGCCGGTGAACGCAAACAATAACAACACAACAAATTCCACAAACCTTTTTTAAGGAGTTCTCAAGTTATTTTGGGCATATGCAAGTTGTGATGCATCAACAGTGTCTGATTTGTGCAAAAGTGCATAGACTAACAAATAAATGTATTTATAGTAAGCTGACAAACACACAATATTCTAGGTTAGATGTATCTACATTATTGGGGTGTATGTATGAAACTAGCCTTTTTAACATATATAATAATTACTCCTATGATTTCAGAGGAAAAGCAAGACTGACAGACAAATAAACTGCTACTGTACCATCAGAAATGGAAGTCTTCGCTGGCAGCTGAAGATTTGTGCGGAGAAGCACTAATGTGATTTTCCTGTGTGCTATGATGAATAAAACTCAACTCCTATGTCAAAATATGCTATACAATGCAACAATAAACCAACAAGTGCTCACCAAATGCCCAAACATCTGACTTGCTGCTGAATTTTCGATGGTACAGAACTTCTGGGGGGGCCCACTTGAAAGGAAATTTTGTGCCCTCAGACATTTGATACTCGTCATCGTCAAGCACAATTCTGCAAATAAAAAAAATATATAATATATACATTTACATAACCTTAACAAGGATTTGAACCTTAGTCCCTGTGTGAGAGCCCAGCATTCTTAATTGTTCAGCTAGTTGCTCCTCTAATTGGAAATACTGTTATGTAAATTAAAAAAAAAGGATCAATCATTAACCAAAACAGTTGCCTATTTATTTTGTCATAATCTTCTTATTTTCTTTCGCGGAGCAAAGGTCCTTAAAAGATAAAACAGAAGGACTACTAGAACAGTCTTATTTACCATATTCTTCTGTCTATCATCCCATGAAGCATGGGTCCACAAATGACAAACCAGAGTGACTTCTAAAGCAGCAAAGCTTTGCCTATTTATTTACCATAAACTTTTATATTTCTTCTTGTGAATCATAAGTCCTGAAATGTCATAAAAGAGTCACTTCTAAAACAGTTGTCTATTTATTCAGCATAATATCTGTCCTTTATCTTGTGGAGCAAAGACTCTCAGTGACATTTATAAAGATACTTTTATAACAATTGTATATTTATTTTGCACATTTTTCTGTCTTTCATCTTGTGAAGCACATGTCCTCAAATGACATAAAAGATTACTTCTAAAAACAGTTGCCTATTTATTTAAAATATGATGTCACCTTTATCTTGTGAAGCGAGTGCCTCAGTGACATTAAACTGCGACTTCTTAAGCAAATGATGTCGTTTTTATTTACCATATACTTTTGCATTTTCTCTTGTGAAGCATAGGTTATGGCATAAATAGAGGAGTAACTTCTAAAACAGTCACTTATATATTTATCATTTTCTCCTGCCCTTTATCTTATGGAGCATAGGTCCTCCAATCACATTAACAAAGAGACTTCTAAAAGAAAACTCACATGTTTATTTCCATTTAGCATTGCTCAACAGACAAACCTAAGCTTTCATCTAAAAAGGACACTCGATGGACACTCATTTGAACTTAAGTTGATATTTAGTAGGATATCTGTCAACAGCACAAAATATTTAGTTCAAAGGTTAAGGCAATACTGCTGCATAGATCTGAAACACAAAGAACAACTGATAAATACCTTGCTAGGCCAAAATCTCCAACTTTGACAACACCATCTTTTCCAACCAGGCAATTTCTAGCAGCCAAATCTCTGTGAATAATATTCTTTTTGTCCAGATATTCCATGCCACAGCCAACCTGCAATAAATTTAGCTATTTCTTTCCACTGCAAAACTATCAATAGTCTAACTGAAGCACAAGCTAAACCCATGACTCATAGATACAAGTGGTGTGAAAGGATAAACAACTTATATATATATATATATATAAATATTAGGCTATGATTTTCTGAGGTTGGTGACTTTTCTCTTCTTTTCTACATTTCTGTTCTCAGCTCAGAGAAGAATCAGTCATTTATTTTAAAGGATTTCTGGACCAGTATAGCAGATAATGGGTCACCTGTTGAGCCCTTAAAGTGTTATTTGCTTCTGGTCAGTTTTTCCCCCCACATTTCCCCCATATGTGGACTGGAAGAACTTGGTTCCGTCGCCCAGCTAACTGGGGTGAGTGCATAGTGCAAAACTGTGAACTGTGGTTTTCAACTTGCTTAGACAAGGACAGTTGACCCATGAAATTTATTACATTAGCTATGCATATGTGAGAAGTCAATGCCAACAAAAGTTATCTGTTTGCCTGTCAGCGTAGTTTTTGGTAATATGACACACTTCTGAGGACTTCTGCCTGTTACTGTTTCTGCAACTGTTACCCATAGTGTATGATTTAAGTTAACTTTGGCATTTGTTGCAGCACAGCATAGAACAAGTCCTTATGTGTGCGAGTTTTGCCATAAAGTAATTAAAAAAAGGAAAGATAGCACGGTAGCGGTAAGTTAGTGCACTGTAATGGTAAGTAGTTAGTAACACTATAATGACACACAGTAGCTAGTGCACTGTGGTGGCAAGATAGCTAGTGCACTGTGGTGGCAAGATAGCTAGTGCACTGTGGTGGCAAGATAGCTAGTGCACTGTGGTGGCAAGATAGCTAGTGCACTGTGGTGGAAAGATAGATAGTGCACTGTGGTGGCAAGATAGCTAGTGCACTGTGGTGGCAAGATAGCTAGTGCACTGTGGTGGAAAGATAGCTAGTGCACTGTGGTGGAAAGATAGCTAGTGCACTGTGGTGGAAAGATAGCTAGTGCACTGTGGTGGCAAGATAGCTAGTGCACTGTAGTGGAAAGATAGCTAGTGCACTGTGGTGGAAAGATAGATAGTGCACTGTGGTGGAAAGATAGCTAGTGCACTGTGGTGACAAGATAGCTAGTGCACTGTGGTGGAAAGATAGCTAGTGCACTGTGGTGGAAAGATAGCTAGTGCACTGTAGTGGAAAGATAGCTAGTGCACTGTGGTGGAAAGATAGCTAGTGCACTGTGGTGGAAAGATAGCTAGTGCACTGTGGTGGAAAGATAGCTAGTGCACTGTGGTGGAAAGATAGCTAGTGCACTGTGGTGGCAAGATAGCTAGTGCACTGTAGTGGAAAGATAGCTAGTGCACTGTAGTTGAAAGATAGATAGTGCACTGTGGTGGAAAGATAGCTAGTGCACTGTGGTGGAAAGATAGCTAGTGCACTGTGGTGGAAAGATAGCTAGTGCACTGTGGTGGAAAGATAGATAGTGCACTGTGGTGGCAAGATAGTTAGTGCACTGTGGTGGAAAGATAGCTAGTGCACTGTGGTGGAAAGATAGCTAGTGCACTGTGGTGGAAAGATAGATAGTGCACTGTGGTGGCAAGATAGCTAGTGAACTGTGGTGGCAAGATAGCTAGTGCACTGTAGTGGAAAGATAGCTAGTGCACTGTGGTGGCAAGATAGCTAGTGCACTGTAGTAGCGTATAAAAACAAACTGTTCAAAATAAACTTATTACTTTTTATGCAACTAAACAATATTTTTAAAAAAAGTAAAGGGCACATAGGGCTAGACCTATATTTTATAGACCAATCGGCATACGATGCCTGATGTGGTCAGCATCACGCTGGCCACCTTAACTTCCCAGGACTGCACCCAGTACCCACTTAAGGGAGCCAAGGTTGTCTACCCTCCGAATAACAGTCCCAAATTATCGAGGCCGAAAATATACCCTAACAGGGCCTCAGTCACATGTAAATTGTGTACCTCTTCGGGCGACTACACAGCACACTGTGGAAAAGCTTCCGCTGAGTTAAAGTCACCGCCGAAAGTATCTCCAGCGCCACTACGCACAGCGCGGAGCGGGGATAAACTTGATGGCTGGGACTATTGAGCAGCAGCTACCGCATCTCCTGCAGCTTCCTTCATTTTATTTGCTTGTGAGTCTCAGCCATCTAATTTAGATACTATCGGCGGTAGCAGTATAGTCATCCGAAAGAGGTCCGCAATTTACAAGTGACTGAGGCCATGATAGGGTATATTTTCGGCGTTGATAATTTGGGACTGTTATTCGGATAGCCGCCAAGGTCATATTTGAAAAAAGTCCAGCTCAGCCAGGGATCAAACCCACGACCTTTTGATCCGCAGCGAGCATCTAGCCGCTCCACCACGGCGACTCCCAACTAAACAATTTACCACCTAGCATTCAAACATTATTGTCTTTAAAAAAAAGGATTTAAAACTCAGGTGACTTTAGCTTAGCACCAACAATATATCCAGTGCACACAACAGTGCTCTAAAGCAGGGCTAAAAACAACTGCTGGCCCATGGGTCAAATTTGGCCCACAGAAGTCTTGCAGGTGGTCGATGGATCACTGCCCAATGTATTGTATTAATGATTTTTCTATGCTCGGGCTCGTTGACAATCCCTATTTTCAACACCCTGGAGCAAACTTAGCTGAACTGAACAGCCCTGCTCTAAAGTAAATAAAACAGTTAAACAGTAAAGTTAAATCTATGAGAACTAAACACTTGCCTGCACTGCAATGTCCAAGAGGTCGTTTGGCTTGTAGAAAAGTCTTCGGCGATGGCGTTGTAAATACCCATTCAAAGCACCTAAAAAGGAGGTAGGTGTTCTAGTTATCAGTAAAGTTAAAACATAAATCGTGGGTTCGCTCCCTGGTAGAGCTTGGCTTTTTTCAAAAATGACCTTGGCTGTCAGGTCAACCCAGCCTTGAGTGGGTACCGGGTGCAGTCCCGGGAAGTAAAGGCGGCCAGTGTGATGTTGACCACATAACACATCTGGTGCCGATGGTCTATAAAAATATAGGTCTAGCCCTATATGCCTTATACACCTAAAGCCTTGGAAGAGGGTTCTTTACTTTTTTTTGTTTAACTTCCTTAAACTATATATCTTTCACATAAAAAAAAAAAAAAAACTAATTAATTTATTAGCAGAAAGTGATAAATGGCCCAACTAAGAATGTTGCCACTTCAAGTGTATAAACCTCAGGGTGGTAGAATGTTGCTACTTCAAGTATATAAACCTTAGGGTGGTAGAATGTTGCTACTTCAAGTATATAAACCTCAGGGAGGTAGAATGTTGCAACTTAGGGTGGTAGAATAGCTTGCATGTACCGATTCTTCTTCTTCAGTACGCACCCTTAAAAAGATGGTTGGCACTTCGTGGTGTGGCTTACAGCTAGGTTTGCAATATCGGCACCTTTGGACCTATACATCAGATCTCAGCAAACCCTAATTAGTCATCTTTTACAATATGCTTGTTAGAAGGGTCAACTTCTGTGGTTTAGGGATTGTAAAATCCCTCTGTAACGAAAGCGTGCGATTTGGCAGCAGACCATCTTGCAGTGGTTTCCCACACATGGAACATGTACCAATCAAAAGTTATGCTGATAATGTGCTGCTCACTGGCAGGGTTTTCCATGGCAATTCTACAGAGAGGGTCCACATGAGGGAAAACAAACCTACTGCTATGTAGGTAAGTAAAATAAGTAAAGGACCCTTTTCCACGCCTTTAGGCGTATAGGGCATATAGGTCAAGACCTCTATTTTTAGACCAACTGGCATAAGATGGGTGATGTGGTAATAATCATGCCAGCCACCTTTACTTCCCAGGACTGCATCCGGTACCCACTCAAGGCTGAGTCGACCTGGGAGCCAAAGTCATTTAAAAAAAAAAATCTGGCTCCAACAGGAAGCGAACCCACGACTTCCAATCCTCAGGCACTCAGGCAAGCGTCTAGCCACTCCGCCACGGCGACATGTAGATAGACCAGGGAAATATTTCTGCCATTTTAAAAGACTCACTTCCCTGTATGGGTTCCAAAGCCCCACGGTGGGGAGAACAAGAAGAGAACTACTGCCTAAACAATCAGCATTTGTAAAAGTCAACTAATTGGGGACTTCCTTTAAACTTGGAGTGCATCTGCTTGAGAGAAAAGGAACCAACAGTCTGCATACAAATAAGCCAGATCTGTAAAACATTTGTACATGCAACACTCAGGTTATGGAATAAGACTACTGCCAAAGGTGGTGGAACACCCAGAACTTTCTGCCCGAGATTACAGTCAGAGAACGCAAAGAAGAAGAAAAGACATACTTCATGGTGTGTGCCTCTTTCCAGTGACTGGAAATAAAATAGATGATCAATTAGCAGGGGAAGGTGCGACAAAACAGCAGCCAGATGTACCAGTTACATATCACCAAAGAAAGGATAATTAAATCGATCAGGAAACCACCAGTCCCAGCACAAGACAACTACTCTATTTTGGACAAATCAGAACAAGTCACTAACCTTCGCCTAAGAACAGGACACAACCGATTACGCAACTACATGTATACAATATTCAAGATAGGTGTTTCAGCCATGTGCACATGTAGAAAAATATAATAGACAGCAGAACATGCATTCCAAGACTTCACACTGAATTTGAAACATTAGGGCCAGAAAGAACAACGCTGGAAAGTAAATGCTACGGACCCCTGAATGAACTAGAAACGACAGTAACATTTAAACGAGAGACAAAATAGATGACATAGACAACTTATTTCAGGGGAATGAAATAAGAAGAATAAAAAGAAAAGACACTCTTTTTAAAAACCATGCTGGAAGGAAACATTACAAGGCAGGTGAGCAAGGGGCAGACAGTGATGCAAGTGGATGGATGAACAGAAGTCTAAAAGAGTGTACACCCAAAGTACAGGTTAAAAAGCACTAATTGCTCTGCCACTAACTAAAGATAAGAGGTGATAAGGAGTATTATCTTTGAAAGTGGATAAATGATGAATCAAGATGTCAGCCACCTCAAGTCAACAGCTTTTGTTTAAATATTTGGAGAATGATAACAGGATGTGTATGAAGAAGGAGAGAACGAAGCACATTATGAAAGTGAGTTAAGAAATAGATGAACACAATTTGATATGTACATGGATAGCTCAACTAGAAGAAGGCTATCCTCCGACTAACGGTCGGCAAAGATGGCCGCCGCAAAATATCCAGTCGAGCCGCAGTCACGTGTCAATTCCGCGCTTCCGGCTACTTAATGTGCACTTTTCCGGCGACTGTGGCTACCGCCACGTGGCCCCCACACCGCTCACGCGGTGTGGATTGGGGCTAAACTAGATGGCTAGGACTCACGAGCAAGGCTGCAGGAGAGTCCTAGCCATCTAGTTTAGTCCCAATCTACGCCATGTGAGAGCCACGTGGCGGTAGCGGTTGTTGGCGCAGAACCGTTGGAAGACCTCACATTAAGTAGCCGGAATTGACACGTGACTGCGGCTCGACTGGATATTTCGCGGCCGCCATCTTTGCCGACCGTTAGGCGGAGGATAGCCAAAAAGAATTAATAATTCCTGTAAAAATAAAGAAAAAACTGATGACAAAACTCTGCAAACTACATTCTTACCATGGTTTAATAACTCTGTGATTATCATCTGAGGTGTTTGGTTGAGGATGACCCCATAAAGCTGGACTAGATTAGGGTGTCGGAGCTGCCTGTAGAAAACAAGTTCGGTAAAGCATTCATAAATAAATTGATCAATCAAGAATTGACATTGCGGCACACTCCCACACATACTCTGTCACAGTCTCATCAGCCAATGGAGTTCCAAAGCTAATGCAGACAAAGGCAATCTGATTTCAAACAAACCTCTCTTTCCTCCTTTTGGTTTTTCAAAAATGACCTTGACTCCCTGTTTGGCCCAGCCTTGAGTGAGTTCGAGGTGGAGTCCTGGAAAGTAAAGGTGGCCGGTGTGATACTGACATCCAGAAATAAATGCCGGATGGTCTATAAAATATAGGTCAAGCCCTATATGCCCAATACTCCTGAAGGTGTGGAAAAGGGTCCTTGACTTTACTTATTATCTGAATGTTGTCCAGGCCCTCTGCTCATTCCTTGTAGTAAAATACCGCATCAAATCTGTGTGCATATTTCTTTGACAACAATGTTGAATTAGGAATTGACACCATAGCACTGGGGACACTCCTATAAGCACTTTATCCCCATCTTCAGCAGCAAACAAAGAGTTCCAGTTCTGACGGTACCAGTAACTGTCTGATTGTACATCATCTTGCCATTCCTCTGAGTGTTGAGTCTTGACCAAATCTCCTGTAACTCCCCTAGCACCATTCTCCTCAGACCGTAATGATCTATTTGTGCCTCCACACCGTTCACTTGCTCCAAAAGAGCCCTCACAACGTCTAGCTTGTCATACATCAATTCACCACTAAGTGGTGAAGAACTGGCCAGTCTATATGCCTGATCATTTCCCCACACACCGGCATCCCTGGAGAAAATTGCTGGGTAAGAAGTATCTGAAGCAACATCTATTATTTGCAGGTCACTGTTTCCACTTTTCAGCATCAACTCTTCTAGTCCCATAAGCTCCTAGCTAATGTCAGAGGGAGTTAAGAATAGCACGACTAAACTCACAGGTATACTACTTCCAGAGGGGCCAAATATACAACCCTTGCAGTAAACAAATACAGTGTCAGAGTTCTTCAGAGTCCCTCACTAAAAATAAGATGAAAAAACATACATCATAACATGATGACTGGTACAGGTCAATAATATCGAATCATGCAGGGTGTGTTGTTTGCAAAAGAGTTATGGTTCTTAGTCATACTGTCCATATTCTGTCCTTTGTGGAGATGAATTTCATTATCCTGCCTTGTGTGAAGATCAATTGTGTAAAGGTCACTATTCATGCTGTCTACATTTTGTCTTTTGTGGAGATGAAGGTCATTATTCATGCTGTCCATATCCTGTCTTTTGTGGAGATGAAGGTCATTATTCACACTGCGTATATCTTGTCTTTTGTGAAGGTGAAAGGTCATTATCCTGTCTTTTGTGGAGAGAAAGGTCATTAGTCATGCTGCTAATATCTTGTCTTTTGTGGAGATAAAGATCATTATCCTGTCTTTTGTGGAAATGAAGATCATTATCCTGTCTTTTGTGGAAATGCAGGTGATTATCATGTCTTTTGTGAAGATGAAGGTCATTATTCTGTCTTTTGTGAAGATGAAGGTCATTACCCTGGCTTCTGTGGAGATGAAGGTCATTACCCTGGCTTTTGTGGAGACGAATGTCATTATCCTGTCTTTTGTAGAGATGAAGGTCATTATCTTGTCTTTTGTAGAGATGAAGGTCATTATCCTGTCTTTTGTAGAGATGAAGGTCATTACCCTGGCTTTTGTAGAGACGAATGTCATTATCCTGTCTTTTGTAGAGATGAAGGTCATTATCTTGTCTTCTGTTGAGATAAAAATCATTATCCTGTCTTTTGTGGAAATGAAGGTCATTAGACATGCTGTCCAAATCCTGTCTTTTGTGAAGATGAACGTCATTACTCATGATGTGCATATCCTGTCCTCTGCAGAGATGAAGGTCATTAGTAATGCTGTGCATATCCTGTCCTCTGTGGAAATGAGGGTCATTACTTATGCTGTCCATATTCTGTCCTTTGTAGAGCTAAAGGTTGTTACTCATGCTGTCTATATCTTGCCCTCTATGTCCGTTTGCGTCCGAAAGGGAAGGGGAGGGGGATGTAAGCATCTCCTGTGTGCTCTTTCGAATGCTGACTGTAAAACTTAGGAGGAGAAGTACATCATATTGAAAATACTAAGTGAACATGTGATGATAGCTACAGAATAACCCAAAGATGAAAGATCATTCCCATTCTCCCAAACACTTACGTCATGGTTTTGAACTCTTGTAAAACTTCATCCGAGGAAGGTTTCACTGTCATTTCTTTAATGGCCACTGGAGTAAGCGTGTGTCCATTAAGATACGTGCCCTCATACACTACCTGAAAGTGTAACAGGAAATGTTGGTAAACAATCAACTGAACTGCAGTGATAGTGTTTGCAACTATGGTCGTACATCTTGTGTTAAAGACAATGTTGTTGGTCACCTTTCTGTCTGTTCAGACGATAGTGTTATATTGTGTACTATGAGGAGGCATGGGACTTACAGCCAATGGAGATCCAATTAAGGCTAGGGATGAAGTTCCATCCTCTCCACAGAACAATGTCTGGGCAGTATTGAAGAGATCCTAAGCGGCTCATGCATTGGGATCCTTCTCTCGGCCTGTCTTGTTACCTCCAAAGGAAAAGTAACACAGGTACATTTGGAACAAAGCATGCTGCAGAAGCTGCCAGATTGGAAAAGCAGTGCTCTGTCCACCTCTCAAAGCTCTCTCCCTAGATCAGCTGCCAGATTGGAAAAGCAGTGCTCTGTCCACCTCTTAAAGCTCTCTCCCTAGATCAGCTGCCAGCCAAGGCTAAGGGTCTGGGTTTGCCCAGCCACCACATAGTTTTTAGTTTGCATTTCCTCTTTCTAGGATATGAAAGGACTTATAGCCAGTAAATGTTGCCACCTGATCTGAACTCAATTAAATAAGGGCAGGCGTCAAATGCCTCATGTTTATAGCACTAAACTCTAGCAGTATGGTAGAGAACATGTATTGCTCATGTATCATGGTCACTATCTCTCTCTACCTGCTTTATTTATACAAATGGAAAGGAAACATCAAAGTTTGAAACAAAACACATTGCAGAAGAAGCTGCTGGACCAGAGGAGCAGCGCTGACTATCCGCCTGTCCAAGCTTCCTCCTTGGATGGGTAGCCAATGCAGAGCTAAAGGCATTTCCTCATCATAGCTTAAGGCTAGGATACTCCTTAAAGCATCCGTCTAAATGAAGCCATAAAGAAAACATTATATAAGTTATCTCAGTATGGGATCTGGGACCCCACTGTGGAGAAAACAAGTGCAGACCCACTGCCTCCCTAACAAGCATGTATAAGAGTTGACTAATGAGGGGTTCATTCAGTCAGAGTGCATCTGCCTGAGGGGTCAGGAACCAACAGTCTGCATACACATAAGCCAGATCTGTGCATACAACAATCAAGTTCTGGAACAAGACTAAATTCCAGAAGAAGACAAACAATCAGAACTTTCTGCCGGAGTATAAAGCCGGTGAACACAAAGGAGATAAAATATAAGATACTATAATTTACAGTGGCTTAGTCCTATCTGATCAAGATGTCAATACTGAAAAGGTATTTATCTGATAACAGATGATAACAATTAGGTCTCAAAATTTATAGGGAAATGGTTCTGAACAAAACAAAATTTATAACCTTTTTCCCCTTGGTGAAACAAGTCAACAGTGGAATCATAAACATATTTAGGTAACATTGTAGACCCATCAGGGAAATATACAGGAATTAAAAAAAAATTAAAAAAAAAAATATGAGGTTATGGCATCCCCCTCTGGATGAAGTTCATCTGACTATGTTGACTGAATTCTGACAAAAGCAACAAAAGTGGGGGTAGCAGAATTAGCAGCAACAACAACACAGACAAGACAACTAACATTTACACTGTGCAAGTAAAAAAACAACAAAGACAAATCCCTCAGCAGCTAAAAAAAGAGTAGGCTCTTGTCACGGCAAACATTTCTGAATGAGAAAACCAAACCCCAAAAACTGTAGAATGTATATAAAAATCACAAAGCAGGCACTCAGATCGGAAACAAATGGATGGAGGAAGTAAGGATGGACAAGAGAAACTCCATGATGAACATTTATGAAAGGACCAGTGCTGCTGGGTTTAACATAATATCTAAAGGACTGCAAAACATAGAATAGAAAGGAGGAATCAACTGAAGATTCAACTGCAGGTCCTCCCCGTGTGAGGTCTGGGGTCCCATATTGAGGGAAATATGAATAGACACCCTCACTCCCCAACAAGAATGTCATAAAAAAGTGTCTTATTAGGGGTGTTTTCCTCGAAGCCAGAGTTTATCTGCTTGAGAGGCAAGGAATAAATAGTTTAGATACAAAAAAGCCAGATCTGTAATCAGATGTGTTTGCAAAACTCAAGAAGCAGAAGACACCAAAACAAAACGAAGGTTGTGTCAACCTGTGTTATTTCGCGGTTTAATAATTAGAGTTTTCAAGTAAGTGTCTGAGGAAATTGGTGAACATGAAATGGGATGAATTCAAGAAAGAAATCAGAAACATGTCTGGACCATAGTTGATATCAACAGTTATAAGAGAAAAGATAGCGATGGTAGACAACACACTCAGCATATTGTAAGGCAGAGCATTGAAGAAATGAAATGAGAAACAAATGAAGGTAAAGACACATGGACAATCAAGAGAGACCCTATGATGAACATTAAACGGAGGTAAAAAAATCTGGACTGGATTATATACACAACACCGAAATGGTTGCAGAGGAATAAATAAAATGGAGGAATCAGTTCTGTCCTCTTTTGGGCACATAAAAAGATTAATAGTATAACAATGATCAGGGGTAATTAGAGGATAAACTGTAATCACTTCACCCAAGTTCCTTTTAAGTTAAATCCCTTCTGGGTTCTGGGTCTCCATCTAGAAATGACCCACTGTCCCTTAAGAAGCATATCCTGAAAGGCAATTAATTAAGGGTTTGCAAAAATCACATATGTCTGGCCAAAAGGCGCAGATAGCCTAGCTGTAAACTGCATACCTTGAATCAACCACCATTTTAATGGTGAGCAAAGAAGAAGAAAAGATTTTAAGTCAAAAAAATATTTATTTTGTTGCTCAATAACACATTTCATCACATAAATTTACAATCACATTATATCTGTGCTTTAAGTGGTTTGCATTGTAACCAAGTTAAGCAGCACCTTTCCAACACAAAATCTTTCAAATGTTCTTTCCTCTTTAAGACAAGAGGATTTCACATTCAGCATTTCTACCAAAGAAACAGTGGAAGACCTTAATTATGAGCCCATCACTAACTGGAAATCAATGACTTACAAGCAGCGTTAACTCTTTATGTGCCAGGAAATTTAGCCAAACATTCCCAAGGTAACAATAATCACAATGAACATAAAGCGTGAGCGTGAACTATCACAGATGCAGCAAATTTATACCAAGCTGGGAATGTGAATAAAAAGCCAGATTTCTAAAGTATGATTCGGCTAACACCAGCTACACCGTTCGTTGTTTAGTACAGATTGAAAATACCCGGTCACACATGGCATGTTGTTTGGGACTGAAAGAGTAGAAGATGCTGAACTTACTCCAAAACATCCTCTTCTGCCACGCTCTCTGATCACGCTTCAAAATGTATTTTGGCTGATGTGGATCACATGACATGATGTGATGCATTTTGTCTATCACATGACATGATGTGATGCATTTTGCCTGAAAGATGTGATGCAGTCTATCACAGAAGTGTGAATTTTGTTGTATGCATTTTGTCTATCACATGACATGATGAATTTTGTCTATCACATGACATGATGTGATGCATTTTGTCTATCACATGACATGATGTGATGAATTTTGTCTATCACATGACATGATGTGATGCATTTTGTCTATCACATGACATGATTGGATGCATTTTGTCTATCGCATTACATAGTGCTATGAATGTTGTCTATCACATTACATGACGCCCCAAATGTTGTCTATCGTGTTACATGATGCAATCAATTTTGTCTATCACACTGCATGATGCGATGAATGTTGTCTATCACATTACATGATGTGGTGAATTTTGTCTATCACATCATGTGATACATTCTGTCTATTATATTAAATGATGCAGTGAATGCTGTCTATCACACTGCATGAAGCGATAAATGTTGTCTATCATATTTCATGATGTGGATTTTAATTAATTCTGTCTATGACATTGCCCTATCACAATTACATGCTACACCGACATCTGCTGTGGGAGATAAATGTTGTCCAGTAATCAGTCTATGGTACTGCATGATCTATTTTGTGTTACATGATGTACATGTCAAATCTTGAACTGTAGTGAATGATTCTGTGCACTACATGTCACATCTTGACTACTGTAGTGAATGATGAATCCCGTCTATTGCACTACATGTCAAATCTTGACTACTGTAGTGAATGATGAATTCTGTCTATTGCACTACATGTCACATCTTGACTACTGTAGTGAATGATGAATTCTGTCTATAGCACTACATGTCAAATCTTGACTACTGTAGTGAATGATGAATCCCGTCTATTGCACTGAATGATGAATTGTGTTGATCACACTGAATAATGAACTTTGTATATCACACTGAATAATGAACCTTGTATATCATATTGAATAATGAACCTTGTATATCATATTGAATAATGAACCTTGTATATCACACTGAATAATGAACCTTGTATATCATATTGAATAATGAACCTTGTATATCACACTGAATAATGAACCTTGTATATCATATTGAATAATGAATCTTTCCCGTGGAGGGGGACAGGGATAGATAGACCCACCACCGCCTACCAAGTATGTTGTTAAAGATGACTAAGAGGTATTCCCTTGCAAGTCGGAGTGCATCTGCCTAAGATGCAAGCAACCAACAGTCTGCATAAAAATAAGCCAGATCTATAAGACGGGTGTGCATGAAAAACTCAAGTTCTGGAACAAATATAAAGACCAGAAGTGGACAGACATGCAGAACTTTCTGCCAGAGTTTACAGCCGGTAATCGCTAAAAAGAAGGTGAATGATGATAAATCTTGTCTATGATACTGAATGATGAATCGTTGTCTATGACACTGAATGATGAATCTTCTCTATGACATATGACACTGAATGATAAATCTTGTCTAAGACATTTAATGATGAATCGTTGTCTATGACACTGAATGATGAATCTTGTCTATGACATATGACACTGAATAATGAATCTTGTCTAGGACACTGAATGATAAATCTTGTCTAGAACACTGAATGATGACTCTTGTAATTCTGGTGTAGACAGAAAGAACAATACTGTATTCAAATCTCTCACTTCTCTGTGTGGGTTCTGGGACCCCATTGTGGGGAAAACAAGAAAAGACCCACTGCCTACCCAAAAGCATGTCATAAGAGTCGACTAATTGGGAGCTTCCTTTGAATTCGGAGTGCATCTGCCTGAGAGGCAAGGAACCAACAGTCTGCATTCAAGTGAATCAGATCTGTAAAACTGATGCACACGCAACACTCAGGTTCTGGAGCAGGACTGCAGTCCAGGAGTGGACGAACAACCTGAACTTTCCGCCAGAGTGTACAGCTGGTGAACGCGAAGAAGAAAAAAAATTTCTCACTGCGAAAAAAAAAAAGAAAAAAGAATAGATGCACTGGTCCTCTAACAAGCATTTAAAAAAAGTCAAATAATTAAGGGTGTATCCTTAAAAGTCAGGGCGTGTTTGCCTCAGAGGCAAGGAACCAACAGTCTGTATACACATGAACCAGATCAGTAAAACCCCTGTGCATGCAAAACTCCAGTTCTGGAACAAGACTCAAGTCCAGAACTGGACGAACAACCAGAACTTTCTGCCAGAGTGAATTCAGCGAGTGAATGCCAAGAAGAAGAAGTAGTACCCAAACCACACAAAAATATATGACAAAGAAAGAAGAAATGAGATTCTCTCGTTGTTCCAGTTTCTCACCGGACAACAACTTTAAAAAAATCAATGCACTTACTGTGACCAAAGCCAGCAGTTGATGGCTTGTTTCCCCTGGGTGGTGGGTCTCGCAACCTTGTGTAAATGCCTTTAATGGAGTAGATTTAAAAGAATTATAATAAGGAATTGATAACCACACACAAGAGTACAGTAAACTCTGCAAGACTTATTCATCTGTCTTTTAACTTTGAACAGGGCAGACACAACTAACCCAGTTTGTGAGGTGGTCCTGGTGCACCATCATGTGTTGTTCCACATCCCAATCAACTTGTCAAAATTCACCTAAATTACAAGTGCTATTCTAAAATCAACCTCTGAAAGGCTGGTAAAAATAAACTGTTTGGCATAGTAACACCGCTCATTGCTTGTATCAGTCAGTAGCGTTTTAGCTAACTTCACACCAACCTATGGTTGCATTTGTTCAGTAGTTCATGAACTGCAAATAAACAAACATGGACATTGTCACTGCTGTACCACCAGCCGTGAAATGCAGGTCAAAATGCACAGCTCTGATGTCTCTTCTGTTCATAGATCAAAACTGTATGGATGACAAATGATTATTTACTAAAATACTCACATCGTAGAAACACACACAAACACAACACTCTAATACACATAGAGGCACACACAATGATAACATGACATACACACAACAAAAACAGGCATACACACAATCACAGACAGAACACATACAAACAGTCATAAGACATACATACACAGACACAACATACACACACAGGCAACACACACCAGCATACACTCTCTCACAGATACAACACAAATGCATGAAGAGGATATAGATAAGATACTGAATGAAGGGATTAGCCACACCTCCTGCACTGTGCCTGTAGTAATGCACCAGTTCCTGATAACAGGAAGAGAGTAGAAAGGGAAACTCAATAGTATAAACTGACAAAGAATATCATGGGCATATAAGCAGCAGACAAGCAGACCAGTAGATCACTTATGAATGCCTTATGTGCTAATAGTGACATGAAGTGGACACAGATAGAAACAGAATGAAGTGGCGTGACGCACCTCCTGCGTTGTGCTTGTGGTAATGCACCAGCTCCTGAATACTGTTCTGTGGGTAGTTGGCAGAGATGTAATACTGACCGGCGTTGTTGCGTTTGATCTGGTAGTGTCTGACATTGCCTTCGCTGCCGAGATAAAAAGATATGAATAGTAAAATAAAGGACCATTTTCTGCTACTTCAGGCTTACTGGCCATATACAGCTAGATCTATGATTTAAGGATTAATTAGTCCCTCGATGGGTGATGTGGTCTAAATCACACCGGCTACCTTTACTTCCCAGTATTTCACCTGGTACCCATTTAAGAATGGGTCGATCTGGGAGCCGAGGTTATTTTTGGAAAAGAAAAAAAAAATGGTGCTGCCAGGATCCGAACCCATGAAACTCAAATACTTTCAAAACACTCTGTTCCTCTTCTTGTTGTTATAACAACCGATTTTATCCCAAATATGCCTTGAACCTTTTGACTGTTTAGTGTTATTTAAACCCCTTTGAATTTCTTCTATCTTGGAAATGAATTAATAGTTGATGGTAGAAGTGAACAGAGGTCGCCCTAGGAGAACATGAACTGATGACATTAAACAGCTTTTACATCGACATGGAATGACAACAGCCATTGCTGCCCATCTGCCAATGGATCGAAAACTGTTCCTCCCCATGTAGCTTGATGGCAGAAGTGGAATTTGATGATGATGATGATGATAGCAGAAGTGAATTAGAAGTCAAAAAGGGAATAGGACTGGCCAAACATATTTTCAACAGCATCTAGAGCAGTAGCTCTCAACCCTCCTAATGCCACGACCCTTTAATACACTTCTTCCTTCATGTCGTGGCGACCACCAAACAATTATTTTCCTTCATAACTTCAAAGTGTGTTTTCCTATGGTCTTAGGTGAACCCTGTGAAAGGGTCATTCGACCCAAAAAAGGGTCACGACCGGCAGGTTGAGATAAACAACACATTAAAAATTAGAATTGACAAATGTTATGTAGACTAATTATGTACACTCATCTCTGCTGTATGGTTTCAGAGAATTGACAATGAACAAGTAATTAGAAAATCAAAGTGAATGCTTGGAGAATAGATTGTAATAATTTGCTGACAGATATTTAAAAAAAGACACACGTTAATTTTTTGGCAATAATAAAAAACATAACACTCTTAAAAAAAACCTACTAACAGGAAATAAAGGGATGCAAGCAAGAAGCAGACAGCGATACGAGTGGGAGGATAACATCAAACAACAGAATAACACCAGTATGACAGAGTACACATCCAGAGTGGAAGATAGTGGTTTGGAGATACACTGAGCCAACCTTCATTGCGGAGAAGGAACCTAACTGACTGATTTGATCTATATATTTATTACTGCATGCAACAAATCAAAATAGAAACACAAACTTGAAGAAATAACTGCCTGAGACTTATGAGAGCTAAGGTTATCATTGTAGCAGCTTTGATCATTTGAAAAGTATACAGTTCAAATTCATCAATACTCCTGAAATGGTACCTACAGATACATTTCCTCCAACTTCTAAGTAGCAGCTTAGATGGCTAGCCTTTTCAGACAAGTGCGAAACACAGTGGACCTCAAGGTACAACTGAATCTGTTATACGACTGAGTTCATGAGTTCATGTGGTGAATAACTTGTATACTGGAATTATTTTGCCCACTAAAATTAATGTCAATTATTTTACTTTGTTTCGGCCCGGTGTTCAGGTGTAGCACATATTTTTTTAAATGGCGTTTTTGTTTCCTTAATGGGGAAAATGTGTGGCACTGTTTTGTTTTTCTGGTTAATGTGGTAGCCAAAAATGGGATTACTTCCAACCATGATTCTACAGTTCATCATCATAAAGAGTCTTGTTCACTGGGAAAGGCGATCATACCTTTCAAAAACAGAATTGCTTGTCAGGTAATGCAGACAGTTCTCATATCTCCAATCTGCATCTTGGATTTCACCCCAAACTCAGGGGCAAAAAAAAAGGTTATTCACCCTTCCCTCATATCCTAAAAGACTGAATTCCAGGCATGTGGGCTAGACCTTTCAGTCAAATAACATTTCTGACAACTTTCCTGTTATCTCACAACTTTTTCTGATGACAAATCCTGCCTCTAAATCATGTTTTTTGAAGTGTTTCCTAATTAAAATACGGCCATTTCATTATCTTCTGTGGTACTCTGTCCTGGCCACTATATTTCTTTAATCACGGTTTACTTGCTAATGCTAACGTTTATTTGCTCAGCCGTCTCCCTTTATGTGATCTTAAGAAGACAGGAACATAATATAAATATTCAAGACTGATGAAGTTGTGTGTTTTGTGTGTTTTTAAACATCAATGTGTCTAAATAAGGATGATCCCGCTACAGGCCCAGCAAGCCAGTAGAGAAATTATTCATTGACAGGACAATGCTTAAGAATTATGGAGGAATTTGAAGAAAAAATGTAATTCAATCAGCGGTCAGATCGTACACATGATGAACAAGTTTAGCTATTTTTGTTAGACTGCAGCAAGATCAAATAAAGTCACAAGCACAACATCTCAGAACATCAGCTACATGAGCAAGAGGACGGCCGCAAAAAAATATGAATCGACAACATTAAAGACAAACTACGCCTTCACGGCATGACAATAGCCAGTGTCAGCCAGCATGTACTGGATCGTAACTTATTCCTCCCCCCGACGTTTAAAGGCAGAAGTGGTTTATGATGATGATAAAGTTAGCCTCTGAACCAAATCAAGCAACCAATAAACTATCAGAAAAAGTTCTTACTTTTCTGTTGTGAAAATTGACAGGGTATATTCTCCAGGGCTACTAACTGAGTCTCTCACAAGAAAAGTGCCTTCTTTCTTTGCATTCAACAGCAGCGTTTTGGAGAGTTCTCTTGAGCAGTCCTTGTAGTACCACCTGAATAAACGAAACATTGGCATCAAAGTCAAAAAATGAACAAACAGAGTAAGGGAGTGATAAAACAAAACTTGAACGGGTGTTTCATGAAATCTTTGAAGGACTTGAGTGTTAACTCTTAAATCTCAATAGCCCCATTCTGGTGAGGGATTTGGGAGGGGGGGGGGGGGGGGGGGGGGGGGGGGGGGGGGGGGGGGGGGGGGGGGGGGGGGGGGGGGGGGGGGGGGGGAAGACTCGTAGCTTTCCTAACAAGCAAGTATGTTTTCTTGACAGTCAAAATGCATCTTCCTGAGAGTCTGCATACAAATAAGAAAGATCTGTAACATGAATGTGTACACAAAACTCAAGTTTTGGAACATGACAAAAATCCAGAAGCGGATGACTAGAACTTTCCACCGGAGTTTACAGCTGGTGAACACAAACAAACACACACCCAAAAGATTGAAATCCAATTAACTGGCATTCACAAAGAGCTTGTTTCGTGTTTTTTCATCCACCAGCTGTGGATTCCTACGGTGGGTCCCTGATGGTCATCAATGTCTGGACGTTGGTCTCGTTTCAGACTTGAGTATTTTTCCAGATCTGGGTTTTTTTTCATTGCCACTCAGATGCACTGCAACTTTAAAAGAAAAAAGATCACACACACACACACACACACACACATATATATATATATATATATATTGGTGAGGTCCCCCAACAAGAAACCTGTTTCAAGGACGACCAGGCCAAGCTGCTGTTGGAGCCTTGGTCCTGATGAAGCTCTGCTTCCCAGCTTGCATATATCAGAGAGGGATTGATGTAGAGATTCTGTTACCTTCATACTAGGTTGGTGTCGCCCTGACTGGTGCCATCATTATAATTTCTCATCTGGATTAAGATTTTAAAAAATAATCTCAGGGTGGACAAACTGTTAGGTAGCAACATGAAGACGAAACAATGGAAGGAAGGAAGGATTGATATAAATAATTTTCTCTCAACTTGGAACAATAGTACCACTGTCTTGAGGACTGTTTGCAGAGCTTATCTTTCCCTCTCCAACCTTAGCAACTAGAATCGTCATCTCTAATCAATTCTCATCTTCGTGTGTTTTTAAATCCTCCTATCTATTTTTCTCATTGATTCATGTGAAATGGCATTCTAGTTAAATAATTATTAGATGTTCTTTGAGTGTCTACTATCCAACACCAACTACTTTTCCTCAAAGCTTGATTCACTAGAATTTGTTTAGTTCTCTCTATAAGCCCCGAACAGTTTTTTCTTAATGTTCATGCCGTGTTACGTTGGCAGTCATGTCTATCCATAACATTGTCTTTGTGTACAATCAAGTCTGACATAGATAATCCACCATGCCATGATGTCAAACTGTCCAGCATCTTTTCTCTCAGTCTCCCCTCCAACTTTCATACTGTCAGGATGTGCTCCAGTTTTCTGCTTCTCATCACATGACCAAAGAATGTAGATTGTCTCTTTCTGATGTGGGCAGTCAGTTCTCTTCGTGAGTCAGTTTCTTTCAAGACATCCTTTTTCATCTGTCCAGGGTATTCTCATCATTCGTCTATAAATTCACATCTCCGCAGCTTCCCAAAAATTTTTCACTAAACTACCAACTGTCAATGATTCATGGTATAACACAACTGGAAAAAAAAAAGAACAGCAATAAAGTAGTATAAGAAACTAGTCTTCACTTTGTAGGTATGTAATTTTTGGAGGACATGGAGTGAGATGCATGTGACAGAAGGATAGGACAACTTGGTATGAACTGGATGATGGCTTATGCTCCACAAGAGGATAAAGGAGAGAAGAAGAATTAACAGAACACAATATCATGCAAACTTACTCAAATAATTCAAGCCCACAATTTAATTTGATGTAGTTTGATGGAATGTAGCCTTGCTTTCTGTGAAGACAAAATAAAATAACAAACTGCACAAGACGTATGTTGTGCTGGTATACATGTTTTGCTGTATACATTTAAAAAACGAAATCCTTATGTATCACATTTGTTGCTTCGACTGTAATTAATATCCGTTATATAGATTATATGGCACTCTATATGGCAAGATCGTCAAGCTGTTTGCCTCCCGTCCTGAAAGTTGTGGATTTATTTTACCGCTGAATCGTTGCCCCTTTGCCTGGAGCAGCAGAGTTGGTGCTTTGTGTGATGCTCTCGGCAGGCGGCTAGCCATTCTGCAGATAGAGGACTAAGCCTTATGGGATTAAAACCCGGTGCAATGAAGTTGATCCTCTCACCTTTAGCCTTAAATCCATAACAGTCTTATTTCCATTAAGGAAAAAAAAGATCAAAATGTGTACAGGACCTTTTTCGAGGTGTATAGTCATTTGGTGCTGGATCTATATTTTTAAAGACTAACAGACACTTCATAAGTGATGCGGTCAACATTAAGCTGGCCGCATTTACTTCCCAGAACTTTACCAGATAGTCACTGTAAGCTGGGCTGAGCTAGAAGCCCAATGATTGGTTGACCCGGAAGTCTAAGTTGATCTCACACACAGCTTTTTGACCTGGAAGTCTAAGTTGATCTCACACACAGCTTTTTGACCTGGAAGTCTAAGTTGATCTCACACACAGCTTTTTGACCTGGAAGTCTAAGCTGATCTCACACACAGCTTTTTGACCTGGAAGCTCACAGCTGGGCTGACCTGGAAGCCCACAGCTGGGTTGACTGGAAGCCCACAACTGGGTTGACTGGAGGCCCAAAACTAGCCTATAAGTCCACAGCTGGGTTGACTGGAAGCCCACAACTGGGTTGACTGGAGGCCCAAAACTAGCCTATAAGTCCACAGCTGGGTTGACTGGAAGCCCACAGCTGGGTTGACTGGAAGCCCACAACTGGGTTGACTGGAGGCCCAAAACTAGCCTATAAGTCCACAGCTGGGTTGACTGGAAGCCCACAGCTGGGTTGACTGGAGGCCCAAAACTAGCCTATAAGTCCACAGCTGGGTTGACTGGAAGCCCACAGCTGGGTTGACTGGAGGCCCAAAACTAGCCTATAAGTCCACAGCTGGGTTGACTGGAAGCCCACAGCTGGGTTGACTGGAGGCCCAAAACTAGCCTATAAGTCCACAGCTGGGTTGACCTGGGAATTTAAAGCTGGGCTGACCGTGGCAATGTAAACTATTTCTTCTTCTCAGCGTTCCCCTGGCCGTAAACTCCAGTGGGAAGTTCTAGTTGTTCATCCACTGGTTGAATTTGGTCTTGTCCCAGAACCTGCATATGGATTTTGCATGCCCATCTATATTACAGATCTGGCTTACTTGTGTGCAGACTGCTGGTTCCTTACCTCCCAGGAAATTTACTCTAACTTCAAAGGAAACACTTCTAATTAATCACCCTTTTATGACATTCTTGTGGGGAAAAGGGGAGGGAGTAAGTGGGCCTATTCCCCCTCCCTTAAATGGGTTCCTGGAACCCACACCAGGGAGTTGATTTAAACAATCCCTGTCACAACGGAAAATCCAACCCATGAGTAGTGAGCTGGCAAGTAGGTGTGCTAACCACTGCACCACCACATTTATACTGTGTGTCATTTCAAAAAAAAAAAGAGATAAAATACTACACTTGCCTTGTAGCTTCCAAGTCAACAAGTGGAAAAGGAGGAAGGGGGGGGGGGGAGAGACAAAACACAGACTCACTGGCCCTCTAACAAGTATATTGAAAAAGGCAACTATCTTATTTTTCCGTGTATAATACAATGTTTTCTCAATTTTTTTGTGTCAGGGTGTAATGAGTCACCTAACATGTGGAATGTGTTTAAAACATGTCTTTCTTAATTTTAGCTACAAAAAATATGGGCCATCTGGTACAGGAACAAATACTATAATTAAGAGTTTGCTGAAACTGAACGTGTTGCGCTAAAAGATGCAGACATGGCAGCCTGGCTGTAAACCATAACGCAGCGTGCCAACTGAAAACCAGAAAAACTGTTCCTCTAAGGCATAGCAATTTTTTAATTTTTTGTTTTAAATGTTACAGTGAAACATTGAAAGCTATACCCATCAACATTCCTGGCAAGCCACCAATTGTCTGCTGAATCGTCAAGTATGATATATTTCTCTCCCTGTGAAATGAACAAAACAAAAACAAAAAGAAATTATTTAAAAAAAAGGCAGAATATTGTTCAACATCCTTCCCCCAGTGCTATCACCTCATTGTGGTTTGCAAATTTTAAAACAAATTTTACATAAGAATTAAAAGAATTCCATGGATCGCCAAAAGGTTTTGAAAGAGGTGAGGCCTTAAAGAAAACTATTACAAACAGAAGGAAACAGTCATCATTTTTTGGTCATGTTATGAGAAGGGCACTGGAACATGTGACCGCTGAAAAGATTTGAGGAAAAAGAGACAGAGGAAGACAACGCGAGCAGATTCTTGACAACCTTATGTCATGGCATGCAGGTGGTGTCAGCACATGAACTGATACATGCTGCTGAAGATGGCAGACTGTGGAAAGGCACTGTCACCCAGGACTAGTCGGCAAGGCATTTGATGATGATGTTTCTAAATGCCAGATTTAAATTACATTATTCAAGTCTATTTGTGGATGCTATTATAGCTAAATGTAACACTGCTTTTCCTCTTGCATGCCCAGCCTCCACTCTTTCTTCACAGCTGCTATCTTTATCATGATGCTTAATCTGTGTGTCCACTTTCTCTAGTCGTTTTGCTTTGATCACAATCTGCTTCAGTGTGTAAGGCCCATCTGTTATGTGTTCAGTGCAGTCCAGATTATTATCATTATACTATGGACTTATCAATTGATATACATATTCTGATCTGCTTTGTATGAATCTTTCGGTATCCTATTACATACGTCTACTGATATTCTGATCTGCTTCATATGAATCTATCGGTATCCTATTACAGTCCATGTCATGTGGCATTGGTAATCAAGTCTGTTGACAACTTTCTACTCCAGCTTCTCCCTTCTTATAGCATACTCAAAGAATGTTGACTAAAAAAAAAAAAAAAATACCTTTGTGGGTGTAGGGTGTATCTGAGCCTGGGGATTTAGAAGCATTGCTAGTTGACTAAAGACTGTGCAAGTTAGAACTGCAGTTCCCATGTGGGTACCAGGGCAACATTGTGGGGAAAACAAGAACAAACCTACTGCCTCCCCAACAAAGATGCTGTAAGATAAGAGGCGACTAATTGGTCCAACTGCATCTGCCTGAGAGGCAGGGAACTAACAATCTGCATACAATTCAATCAGATCTGTTAAACGGATGTGCACATAACATTCATATTCTGAAACAATACTAAAGTCCAGAGGTGGACAAAAAAACCAGAATCTTCCACCGGGGTTTACAATCAGTGAATGCAAAGTAGAATTGTATTTTTGTCCCAACAGAAAAACCCATAACCTGGGATTCAAGCCTGGCTATAATGTTTGAGAGCACAGAATTCCTAACCCTTTGGCCAGCCGCTCCCTCCCATCAGCATACTGTGACTAATTATTCTCTTGTGCCTCTGCACTGTTCACTGGCCCTTAAAGGACTCTCACAACATCCAGCTTGTGATACATCAGTTCACACACAAAGTGGTGCAGAACCAACCAGTCTGTCTGCCAGCTCACTTCCCACAACCCCTGCATTACCTGGAGAAAATATCCAAAGGTCGCTTATAACCCGGGACTTATAAAGTGATGCTTGCCACTCTGCACGGAGCATGCCTGCCTCCACCTTTTTCAAAATGCTCCGAGTCAGCTACAAGCATGGCATGTGTGTACAGCTGATTCTCCAGCCAATGGAAGACAAAAGTGACTGCCTCTAACCCCATTCTCAAACTACATGTTACATCGTATGAGAGACATTGTTGCACTAAGCAATGTCCATTTGCTTTGAACTCCCATGCACTTTGTCTGCCCTCTACTAAAGAGCCATCTATATTGATAATCACACCATCTGGGCGGGAATTGACATGAATCATTTGTTGAACTTCTGATTCTGCAGCACCAGCTGGCCAGTCTCTGCACTTGCGACCTAAAGCGATAAGAACCCAAAACAAGTCTGAAACTTACTCGGACACTTTGACCCACTCTTCTTCTCGTCCATATTTACCAGGTCTGCACACGTGTGTGTGTGTGTGTGTGTGTGAGAGAGAGAGAGAGAGAGAGAGAGAGAGAGAGAGAGAGAGAGAGAGAGAGAGAGAGAGAGAGAGAGAGAGAGAGAGAGAGAGAGAGAGAGAGAGCAATCAAGTGATAGATGTCCCTGACTTAGAAACTTGCCTGCACCAGTTCTAACCCCCATTCATCGGTGGGGTCATAATCATACATGGCCACATACTCTTTGTTGGCTGCTGTTTCCCGTGGAGGAGGCACTGGAGGCACGGGTGGTGATGATGAATACTGTTCTGCAATGTGAACAAAACAAAAGAATCCACGCAATCAGATGACAGATTCAAAGGCTTGCTAAAAATGAACTAAAATCAGGATTTAAACAAATTTAAAAACAAAATGCCACAACTACTAGCACAACACATATTTCGTCCACCTAAATTGGCACACACAAAAACCAGACCACAATCATAACCTAAGCTGTCTTCAGCAGGGTTGAACGTGGTTGACTTTATATTTTTTTTCTTTACAAAAAACGAACATATTAAGGATTTTTTAAAAATTGCTCCTTAACTCTTTGAGGCCCAAGCAACGATGTGAGCATTGATTGAGAAGTCCCGTTTGCCCAAACAACGTTTTAATCGTCGATCGTGTATCTCGTTAATTTTGCTTCGCACGCGGCCCCACACTTGTTTATAATTTTTGGCAGTTCGATTAAACTATTCAGCTGTTCTCAATCTAGCAATTCTGATGAGTTTGTTACACAGACAATGTCCCATTGCTACCATATTTATGGTGTAAGTGAAGGAAAGTGTTCTAAACAAAGAGATTGTACTATACTATGGCTAAGCTACACTGAAATCATCCCAGTTCAGTCTGTATATAACAGTACAAAGTAAATAGCGTGTGTGTAATGGCTCATTTTTCTCTCTGAAATTTTTCTTAGCACTCTGTGAGAACTAAGAGCTCCTGAGTGCTAAACTAACCCAGAAACTTATCATAACTTTGGAATTTGTTAGGAAATTGAACAAACTTTGAAGTTTTGTTCTCAAATTTGGATATTCACTACTCGTGTGGCTGCAAAATCATGGTAAGTGAAGAATTTGTTTGTAAAACGTTGTTGTGAAATTAACACCTGCTGAATTTCTTCTTCTTCTTCTCTTCCACCATGTACCTCATCGAAGTGTCGGGGGGAGATGTAATGATCATTGATGAGCTCTGTCAAGAGCACCATTTAGACTGATGTTCATTTCTGTAAGGCTGTTCTTAATGCCATCACTCCATCTTATCTGAGGTCTTCCACCCGCTCTATACCCGTTGTAACATTATAGTGTGGTTCGCTGTGGCGGATAGTACCAGGGCATTCTTGTTAGGTGTCCAAACCACTTCATTTGTTGTTCTTTGATGACCTGTAAGACTGGCTTTATTCCTTGCATTCGTCTGATTTCATGATTTCGTATTCTGTCTTTCCTTGAAACTCCTGCAGCTCTTCTAAGGCATTTCTTCCCCACTAACTATACAAAAATTAAACATATACTTATTATCAGATTCAAAATTTGCATTCATTTCTTTTTAAAAATGTATATACTTTTATTAGGATTAGAAGTATATTACATTCTCTATTGCCTTTCTTGTATACACACCCCTCTGCCATTTTTGTAAAGGAAAATTAATGTGGGCCAAGTTTGTCAAAATTCATGGACCTGAAAGAGTTAAGTTATATTTATATAGCGACTTATGTAGAACATCTTACACAATAAATCCCTACCATTGAAGGTTAGAAAAAGAATGTTTACAATTCCTTAGACAGCCAAAATGAGGAATCCAGGTGTTTTGAAATAGGCTGGCCCAAAACCAGTGAAATGAAACCGATCGCCTTGATCATTATATTTTTGTTATTAATTTAATTTACAATGTTTCAGTTTTAATTATAAATCTTCTTCTTCTTCGCATTCACCAGCTGTAAACTCTGGCGGAAGGTTCTGGTTTTCCATATTTTGCAGTCCTGCTCCAGAATGAGTGTTGCGTGTGCATCAGTTTTACAATGAATACACACTGTTTTCCTTGCCTCTCCGGCAGATGCACTCCGACTTCAAAGGAAGCTCCCCAATAAGTCGACTCTTACGACATGTTTTTGGGGAGGCAGTGGGTCTATTCTTGTTTTCCCCACAATGGGGCCCCGGAACCCACACGGGGGTAATTATAAATGTATGACAAGTGGGTACCCTGATAACATCAGATAGAAGATGTATTAAAGAAGTTAAATATAGAACAGCTCAAACAAAAGCAGCATTTTACAAAAGGAAGAATATTTAATGCAATCTTCCTTTGTCAATTGAGATGAGAAAGAGAATTTTTAAAAGCTATACAAATTATATCTTCATATACGGAAGTGAATCATGGACAGTTGGTAAATTAGTTGAAAACTTATTTGGAAGAGCCAGAGATGTTTTATAGACAAATAATGAGAATACCCTGGACAGATAAAAAGAGTAGGGAAGATATCTTGAAAAAAAACTGACTCACAAAGAGAACTGATTGCCCGCATCAGAAAGCGCCAATCTGCATTCTTTGGTCATGTGATGAGAAGGAGAAAACTGGAGCACATCGTGACAGTAGGAGAGTTGGGGGAGGGAGGAGGGGCAGAGGGAAACCTATAGAAAAGATGCTGGACAGTCTGACATCATGGCATGGAAGATCATCTGTGTCAGAGTTGACTGAAAGAGCACGAGACAAAAGGCTGTGGATAGACATGACTACCAACGCCACATAGCATGCTTTCTAAGAAGAAGACAAGTGACATTTTTTTATGACACAATTTTCAACAATGTGTCAAAATGATGTTATTTTGTTGTTAAAATATAATAACTGACACTGACAGGTAACAACTGGCTCTATTCTAGCATTCCTCCTTCACTCACCACCTTTACAGCCGACTGCATTACGATCAGACTGATGGCAGCAGTTGTAATAAGGCTTCTTCTTGGTCCAAACCCCTGTGTGGTATTTGTTAAAGAACTGGGCACCTGCTTTCAATGCACCTGCAGAATAAAAAAAAAAAAAATTGGAAAGATTAGTCACTAACTTCCCTGTCAAGTTAAACAGTAAAGTTTTATAGTAAATATATAAGTGATGCTTTCTCATGTAATCTGATCCAGAAGTACAGATTGGGACTTGTAGCTTTATTCATTCCAAAAAACAAGACATGAGTGAGACAAACTGGCAACAATTTAAAAGTTGGGTGTGCCCACGAGAGAAAAGTTAAGAGTGGGTGCCTCTGAGGAGGGAAAAAATAGGGTGGGTTGGCTCAAAGAGAAAAGAAAGAGTGCGCGCATGTGCTGAAGAAGGAAACGTGGGTGTGCGTTGTGGTGTGTCTAGATGCACTATCCCCTTATGATCATGCCATAAATTATTTATTTAGGGGTTTGCTGAAATCAGATATGTTTGGTCAAAATAAAAGTGCAAATATCACAGATGAGTTGTAAACCCCAATATGATGTGTCAACTTCGTTTCTGAGAGCAAATGCAGAATAAGATATTCATCGTCTTTATGTATGTTAGTGAATCAAAGACAGTTGGTCAATAAGAGAAAACATGTGGAAACTGCAGAAATATGGTGTTACATAAGAATGATGAAAACACTGTGAGGAAAAATAAATTATAATGATGATGTCTTGAAAGAAACAGTCACACAAAAAACTGATTCATCAACATGTGCCTTGCTGACTGGCATGAGCGATCATGAATCTCCACAATCTGTAATCTTCACAGCATGTATCAGGCTGTGTGTTGACACCCCTCTATGCCATGACACAAGGCTGTCAAAAATCGCCTCATAATGTCTTCCCGTGTCTCTGTTTCCACAGATCTTTCCGGTGGTCACAACATGTTCCATCCTTCCTCTTCTTGAAACATGACCAAAAAATGATGAATGTCTTATGTTTATAACAAATTGTCTCAAACATCCGAAAGAGATAAGTCATCACTTACTCGTATCTAAAGAAGAACACACCTTGAATTATAAATCCAGTTTGTTCATTATAAGTGTCTGTACTCTGACCATTCAGCAGTAAATCTCTCACGCTAGCCAACTATCTTAACGAGGACTTATTTCTTGGGGCCAGAGATCTTAATAAGGGCTTATATTTGGGGCTGACAATCTCAATGAGAGCTTATATTTGGGGGCTGACAATCTCATGGAGTGCTTATATTTGGGGGCTGACAATCTCATGGAGGGCTTATATTTGGGGGCTGACGATCTTAACAAGGGCTTATTTTTGGTGGCTGATGATCTTAACGAGGGCTTACTTTTGGGTTACGGTCTATATTAAAAGCATCCTAAAACTCACAATGAAGCTCATTATTGGGGCTGAAATATAGTATAAATGCTAGTAATTGTATTATTTTTCCCATTTAAAAATAAGCTGAAACATTTATCAAAATAGAAATTTAATTTGAAGACATGCTGCAGACAGACGAAAAACAAACAATGATACAAACAGAAAAACTCTCACCTGCACGGATGGCATCTAACCAGGCTTGTCTCTCTTCATTACTGCTTGCCTGGACATACATTGTGCTAAAGTCATTCTTCTCTGAATAAACAATCTGGAAAAAAAAATTGCACAGTACAATGGACCAACTCAAAGAGAAACAGACACTTTATGAAAATGTTTTTTTTTTAAAGTCTAAGACAAAGTAAATGATCCTTGTTCACTTCTTCAGGCATATTGGGCACAGAGTGCCTGAACATATATTTTATAGACAAATCGGCACTCTGTGGGTGATGCGGTTATCATCATGCCAGCCGCCTTTTCTTCCCATGACTTCTGTCTGGCACCTGTTTAAAGATGGGGCGAAAAAAAAAGTCTGGCCCCATTCAGATTTGAACCCATGACCTTTGAATCCTCAGGTAAGTGTCAAGACGTAGCTTCCCATAAGACAACAATTAACTTGAATATAACAACAACAATCATTATCATCAGGTGCCTTGCCGACTGCCATGGGCGATCATGCCTCCCCACAATCTGCGATCTCCTGCAGTATGTATCAGCTCGTGTGCCGACACACCTCCATGCCATGCAACAAGACTGTCAAGAATCTTCTCTCGTAGTCTTCCTCTATCCTTCCTTCCACAGATCTTTCCAGTGGTCATAACATGTTATATTTTCCTTCTTCTCAAATCATGGCCAAAAAACAGAACAATAAACAACCTTAAAATAAATCCTGAGGATAATGAACATTGTAAAATGGAGATAAACAAATGTTGAAGGTTTTCTATTGGTGAAGTGATCAAGCAGTTGTCGCCTCAAGCTCTATTCCTCTTGTCTGTTAGCTCTGGTGGAAAGTCCTGGTTGTTCGTCCATTCTGACTTTGGCTTCGTGCCAGGGCCGAGTTTTGCATGCCCATCCGTTCTATTGACTTTTGTATGTGCAGTTGGTTGATTCTTGCCCCTCTGGCAGACGTACTCCGACTTTTAAAGAAATCCTCAGTTAGTTTCCTATGACATGCTTATGGGGGAACTGTGTGTCTATTCTTGTTTTCACCATAAAAGGGACCTGAAACCCACAAGGGGAGTGTCAGCTCTGAAGGTCATGAGTTGATTTCACTGATGCATCCTTTACTTAATGGATGCAATTTCGCGGCGATCCATGGAATCGTTGCTGAATGTATGGAGCTCATGCTTTGCACCACGCTCTTGGCAGGAGGTTAGTAAAACTGCCAAAAGACCGACCAGAGAGGGTAAAACATGGTACAATGAAGGCAATCTTCTGGACTCTAACTTCACCATTTAAACATGCCTAGAAAATAAATGACAATAATGAAGACATCAGCAGCAGCAGCAGGGTGTATATCTAGAATACTGAGAACAAATTTTAACAGAAGAACATTATTGCCTGCGCTGCTCAATATGACACATTATGAATAGTTGATAGTTTATATTTCTATTATGGCATCTATAGATTCTATGACTGGTTTTTTGCTGATACTGATATTTCAGATTGTTTCATATTCTGTGATACGATGGGAAGTCACCAATCATCTTCTCGTCCTGCCTCCTTGAGAACACTGAGAATGTGGACAGTAAGAAGCAAAATAACTATTTCAGGACACAGAATGGTAGCAAACTTGGTTACAGGCCATACCCAAAAGCTATGTAGCAAATGTGGTTACCAAACTTGGTTACAGGCCATACCCAAAAGCTTTGTAGCAAATGTGGTTACCAAACTTGGTTACAGGCCATACCCAAAAGCTTTGAAGCAAATGTGGTTACCAAACTTGGTTACAGGCCATACCCAAAAGCTTTGTAGCAAATGTGGTTACCAAACTTGGTTACAGGCCATACCCAAAAGCTTTGTAGCAAATGTGTTTACCAAACTTGGTTACAGGCCATACCCAAAAGCTTTGTAGCAAATGTGGTTACCAAACTTGGTTACAGGCCATACCCAAAAGCTTTGTAGCAAATGTGGTTACCAAACTTGGTTACGGGCCATACCTAAAAAGCTTCTTAGCGAATGTGGTTACCAAACTTGGTTACAGGCCATACCCAAAAGCTTTGTAGCAAATGTGGTTACCAAACTTGGTTACAGGCCATACCCAAAAGCTTTGTAGCAAATGTGGTTACCAAACTTGGTTACAGGCCATACCCAAAAGCTTTGTAGCAAATGTGTTTACCAAACTTGGTTACAGGCCATACCCAAAAGCTTTGTAGCAAATGTGGTTACCAAACTTGGTTACAGGCCATACCCAAAAGCTTTGTAGCAAATGTGGTTACCAAACTTGGTTACGGGCCATACCTAAAAAGCTTCTTAGCGAATGCGGTTACCAAACTTGGTTACAGGCCATACCCAAAAGATTTGTAGCAAATGTGGTTACCAAACTTGGTTACAGGCCATACCCAAAAGCTTTGTAGCAAATGTGGTTACCAAACTTGGTTACGGGCCATACCCAAAAGCTTCTTAGCGAATGCGGTTACCAAACTTGGTTACAGGCCATACCCAAAAGCTTTGTAGCAAATGCGGTTACCAAACTTGGTTACGGGCCATACCCAAAAGCTTCTTAGCAAATGCGGTTACCAAACTTGGTTACAGGCCATACCCAAAAGCTTTGTAGCAAATGCGGTTACCAAACTTGGTTACGGGCCACACCCAAAAGCTTTGTAGCAAATGTGGTTACCAAACTTGGTTACAGGCCATACCAAAAAGCTTCTTAGCAAATGTGGTTACCAAACTTGGTTACAGGCCATACCCAAAAGCTTCGTAGCGAATGCAGTTAACAAACTTGGTTACAGGCCATACCCAAAAGCCTCTTAGTGAATGCGGCTAACAAACTTGGTTAAAGGCCATACCCAAAAGCTTCTTAATGAATGCGGTTACCAAACTTGGTTACAGGCCATACCCAAAAGCTTCGTAGCAAATGCGGTTACCAAACTTGGTTATGGGCCATACCCAAAAGCTTCGTAGCAAATGCGGTTACTAAACTTGGTTACAGGCCATACCCAAAAGCTTCTTAGCGAATGCAGTTAACAAACTTGGTTACAGGCCACACCAAAAAGCTTCGTAGCAAATGCAGTTAACAAACTTGGTTACAGGCCATACCCAAAAGCTTCGTAGCAAATGCAGTTAACAAACTTGGTTACAGGCCATACCAAAAAGCCTCTTAGTGAATGCAGTTAACAAACTTGGTTACAGGCCATACCCAAAAGCCTCTTAGTGAATGCGGTTAACAAACTTGGTTACAGGCCATACCAAAAAGCTTCGTAGCAAATGCAGTTAACAAACTTGGTTAAAGGCCATACCCAAAAGCTTCGTAGCAAATGCAGTTAACAAACTTGGTTACAGGCCATACCCAAAAGCTTCTTAGCGAATGCGGTTACCAAACTTGGTTAAAGGCCATACCCAAAAGCTTCGTAGCAAATGCGGTTACCAAACTTGGTTACAGGCCATACCAAAAAGCTTCTTAGTGAATGCGGTTAACAATTTCATGACCCTCGAGTACTGTGGTTTGTCCCCTGTGGTGGATGAGTAAGAATCTGTTCTCTTGATTTTCGGATAATGGTACGAGAGTCGTACCATGGAACAGACTGGGGCCTCACAATGTAATATTCTCAAAATGAACAGTGATACACTGTAGCCAGCCTCCACTCTGGAGACGGCCCTAAACTTTATTATTTAAAAGCTTCTACCTGGCAGGCAACCACAATCCTGTGAATCTATGTATTACATGTGTTGCAAGGCAGGGAGACTATGTTGAGAAATAGGACACAAAAAAATTTTTTCTGACTGCATGTTAAAAAAACAAAATTATTAATGCAAATGCCTTTTCTTAATAATTTCCCCTCGTATTTTCAAGTTTGTCCGAAGATACTGGTTTTTTTTTTTTAAAGTTATTCAACATGACTTCCCCTTGTATTTTCTAGTTGACTGTTGTATAAGAATCTTTCAGAATACTTAATCAACCCCACTGTAATGATCTCCTCATTTAGTCCTTCACTTCAAATAACTGGTGTTAGTGTAGGAATACCATAGGTTGTTTATTCTTTCTTCTTCTTCTTTTGTCAATATCTGCTTATGCTGCTCCTACTAGGCGTTGCAGTTCATCAGTAGATCGGCAGCCATGACGCTCAGTCGCTTGATATGTCGCGATGTTATGCAATCTCATGGTGTCAGTGAGTCCTTCAATCCATCTTCTTCTGAGTCTTCCCCTGCCTCTTGATGTTTTGATTTTCAGGTTGTATGCTCTTGATGCTGGTATTATTAGTTTCATTCTCATTAGATGGCCAAACCATTGCATTCTTTGTTTCTCAATAAATTTAACAATGGGTGTTGTTCCAACAGTTCTTGTGATCACATCATTTCTCACTCGATCTCTTCTGGTTTTATTCAGACATTCTCAAACATTTCATCTCAGCCCAATGCCATGTAGTGGAATTTGCATGTTTTCACAAGCTGTTCTTTTCCTCTGTACAAGGTGTTCCACTTGTCTGGTCTCGGAGGGAGTAGCGTTCTTCTTGTCTCACTGAGTTTTGGGCACTCAAAGAGATGGTGTTCAACAGTTTCGTATGGGTAGTTACATAGCTGGCACTCTAGGGAGTGTTGTGGCTGTATTCTGTTTAGATGTCCATTGAGTGGAGTATGTTGCGCTCTAAGTCTGAAGATGGTGGCCTGGTCCCTTCTTGTTAGATGGTTAATGCTGTCATTAGGATCAGGGCCAGCCATATGTCTATAAACCTCTCTTCCAGTGTCTCCCATGGCCCATCTGTTCAACCAAGTCTCTTTGTTTATAGCTCTTATAAGTGTTTTTGCTGTCTGGAGGGTTGTCGCTGTTGGAGGTTGTTCTTGTGTTGCTCCTTTCATTGCCAATCTGTCAGCTCTGTCATTACCTGGTGTGCCGGAATGACCTGGAATCCACTGCATCACTATTCTGATGTTGTATGAGGTAATAAGCTAATCAGCATCCAGGATGATCTTGGCTATGTCAGTTCTGCAGCGTTCACTGCCCTCCGGAGCTTGAAGGGCAGACATTGAATCTGTGAAGATGACAATATTTTGGACCTTTGAAGGGTAAACATCCATTACAGTCTTTAGGTGGTATACTGCTGTTTCCAGTGCAATTATTTCAGCTTCATAATTTGAACAGAATTCCCCACATGCATCAAAAATCTCTTCAACAGATCCATCGGGATAACCTATGTAGATTCCGTAACCTGCTTTAATGGTAGCTTTAAATGCTGATCCATCAGGAGACCTTTTCTCCATACTCTGTCATAGGCCTGCTGGAGGTCGACAAAGACGGCCACTGTGTTTCTTATTCTGGAAGCCATCATGTATTCTTTGTGTCAGTCTGAACAGCTGGTCTTCTGTACAGTTGTTGGTTCTGAAGCCTGCCTGTTCATGGCATAGAACACCAGAACTCTCTAGGAACCAATATAAGCGCCTGTTTATCATTCTTTCTGCAACTTTGCCCAAGCATGATGTTAAGGATATCGGGCGGTAGCTTTTGGGGTCATCTGGAGGCTTTTTGGTTTTAAGAATGGGGACGATATATGCATTCCTCCATGCCTTTGGAAGTTTGCTTGACCTCCAAGTTTTATTAATAAGTCTGAGAACTACTTCTTTCCCAGACCGGCCAAGATGTAGCATTTCATTGTGGATCTTATCTGGGCCTGGGGATTTTCTAGGTTTTAACTTCTTCAGGGCTTGCTCTAATTCATCCATGGTAAATTCATTTTCAAAAAGGGAGTCGCTGGCTCTTGGAGCTCTCTCTTGTTTCTTCAACTGAGAGAGCTGTGTTCTATTGAGTTCTGACAGCTTACCTGCTCTGTTAACTGTGGCAAAATAATGATTGAAATGTTCTGCTTTCTTCTTGTCTTCAGTGATTGTCTTACTCCCATCTGTCACTGGTTTTGGGTTCACCCTTCTACTTTCTCTGGAGAGGTTTTTAACTAAAGTCCATGCTTTATTTCCATTTTGTCTAAGGTCTAAGTTGGAGCAAGTTTCTGTCCATTTATTTCTTTTAGCCTTATTAACTACAAGCTTTACTCTGGCACATGCTTTATTGTATTGGATCTTTGCTTCTGTTGAACGTGCAGTTTTGAGCAATATTCTTGCTTTATTCCTTTCAGATACAGTCTTTTGAATTTCTTTATTCCAAAAAGGTTTATATACCTTCCGGCTGCCCCTTGGGATGGCTTTCGACTCTGCATTCAGGATTGCTTCTGTTATATCTTCACAAAAAGTTTCCACACAGCTGTTGTCAATTCTTCCCAGGAGGCAGTCAGATGTTTCCTGAAAGAGTTTCCAGTTTGCTTTTCGGAAATTCCAACGGGTTCCCTGCTTGAAGCATACTTTAGCGGCGGTGCTTACAGAGAAGGTTAGTTTTCTTTCGTGTTTCTTCTATCGGTCTGGGTATTAAGCTAAAGTCTGCTGACAACAAATAGCCACAACCAAAAGATGCAGTCCATGGAAAATAAACAACAAGCCTTCACAGACTGAGATAAACAATTTATCCATGCCACAGTGAGCCCTAATACACCTTCACAACCCAGCAGAAGTCAAAAGAAAACCTACACTACATCTAGCTCCTGCGATCCATGCTAATTTATTCACGCGCATTGTGCGAGCTGAGCTTCAAATAAAACCTTAAACGTTTGGCAAATATTACAATAACCATGCCTTGTAACTTGTTAATATGGTTGTTACAGGTGTCAAGAGTGTTAAGCATGTGACATCAAGGTGTAGACATACATAGTGATGTCATAATGACAGTTTAAAGATGGCTACCCCAATTCTGACAAGCAGCAAAGTCCTGTTATCTGTTGTTGTTTTTTTTTTAATCCATGAAGGGGTGAAATCAACAGAAATTCATTGACAAATAAAGCCTCAGTATAACGATTTATGCCTGTCAGTCCAGCAGGTGTATGAGTGGAGTAGAAGATTTGCAAAATGACATGACGTCAGTGACACTGTCCATGACCTGACCCGGTTACAATTGTAGAAAACCGTAATTTCTATCACACTTTTCATGTTTTCATTTAAAGACCCCTGTATTATCTACTCTTTGTTTTTAAATCAATAAAATGTAAAAACCTAAATAGAAGAAAATTATACTCTACCTGAAAAACATTGTCTTTGTCCTCTAGTTTTCTGTCTTCTACCTCTCTCACAACTTTCATTACCACGAGTGAAATGACACCCTTCTGTTTTCCTTTATTCTATGTTAATAAACGAGAATATACAGAGACCTGTCAATCACTGGAAAAAATCATTCTGTTTTCCTTTATTTTACGTGATAAACAAGAGAACATACAGAGAACTGTCAATTATTAGAAAACACTGTTCTGTTTTCCTTTATTCTAGGTAATAAATGAGAATATATAGAGACCTATCAATCATTAGAAACATCATTCTGTTTACCTTTATTTTATGTGATCAACAGAACATACAGAGTGATGCTGATCAGTGGAAAACCCTTCACAGCATGAGAAACAAACTTAAAGGCACTGATCGGTGCCTACAGAAGGCAACAAGAGTACAGAAATAACTGGACTCAAAAACAAACAAATAGCTAAAATGAATTTGCATTTAAATGCATCAATCTGTGAAATGAAATTTTAAAAAAATTTTAAAATAACAAAAGTGTAGAGGAAAAGATCTAAACAAAAACAATTACGATGATGCTGCAGTCAAAGACAAAAATAACACTGTATTAAATTATAAATACAAAAAAAGACACTGCTTTAATGACACTACAATAAAATAAAGTGTAAAAACAAAAATGGATGGATGAAGTCAAATGAAATGTCATTGATTCTCAACTATTTATGTCAATAGTAGTGAATCATGGAATGTGAATGCACAAATTAGAAAGAACCTGGAGGCAACAGGAATTTGGTTTCTCAGATGAATGTTAACCCTCTTGAGGTGACGCGGCCGAAATACTGGCCCAACGCAAAGTAGCCAGTAATAAAGTAGCTCTGTGTAATAAAAGCCTTGATATTGGCTGGCAGGTTTTCACACCAGCCAATCAGACTGCTTCTCGCATTTTTTGCACATGGGGGCTGTTCATTGATGGCTTTCGAGAAAGGACTGTTGCATCATAGCAACCGAAACACACCCGGAGGCAGGAAAATGAGTAGAACTATGTACCAGACGTGTTTGAAGGGCCTCCAAGGGCTTTACTTCCCAAAATACAGGTGTTAGGACTTTTTCAAGCTTCATCCATAAAAAATTCACACAATTTTTTTCCGGTTAGTTATGTTTGTTTCCAAGTTTTATCAAAATTGCTTACATAAATTATGCAAATCAGAATAGTTAATTTGAATAAATGTTGAGATTTTAGTTTGATTCACAAATATTCTGTTAGTTCAGTCAATTTCTTACACAAATATGTATAGTTTTGTATATGTTAATGAAATGATTAATTTTTTATTTTTGTGTGTACAAACTATGAGAATTCCCTCATGAAGGCTCCGTCTTCTTTTGCACCAAAACTCTAAAAAGGCGCAGAAGGGTTAAGAATCCCTTGAACTGCCAGAAAAACTAATGAGGACTGCTTGAAAGGAGCTAATGAAAGCAGATCAATATATATACAGCTATAAGGAAAAGACAAGCACTGTTCTCTGGTCAAATGATGAGGGGGAAGGCTTTGGGAGAATACTGTGATGACTGAGAAGACCAATGATAGAAGAGGGAGAGGCAGCCCGAGAGAGAAGATGACTGATGGATTGTGACGGTGGCACGGAGAGATATCATCGGTGGAACTGATCCAGACAAGGGAGCGAGATCTGTGAAGATGCAGGAACGCCTATACCTCAGTAGTCAGGGTATGTGATGATGATGAAATCAATTTGCTATTTATGACTGAGTGACAGTGTGACTGAACTGTGCTTGCAGTTGTCTGAGGTGAAGCAGAGTACAGAATACAATATGTTATACATACATCATTTTATACTATAGACCCAGGTGAAACATGCCATATTTTGTCGAAGGATGAAGGCAATGGGAAGTCAGTAGAGGATGATGATGAAGGAAGAAACTATATTTTCAAAGGGTTAAGAACTAGGCATGCAGGCCGGTCTAACATTCTGCTTTTCCAATCCACTCCTAGCATCCAGTTATTCATTCGTACATCATTTCATAGTTAATAATTTAAAAAAAAAAAAAAGAAATTAATTATATCTCTAAGTCTTAACTACAAATGCTGGTATGTGCCCTATTTATACTTACATTACTGAACTATTTTAAAAAGTATAGTAACAAACCTAATCAAAAAATGTCATGAGTCTAGGTTGCATAATATGAAAATTATCAACAATTACAATTTAGTTACAAACACTGAGATGCATTTGACTGGCCTTTGATGATGAGTAAGAAGAAGCAGCAGCAGAGCAACAACAACAAATATCAGAAAGCAGAGAAGGTGAAAATTATCTGAAGAACAAAAAAGCAGAAGAAGAACAACCAAGAGGAAAAGAAGAAAGGAGGAGGAAATAATAAAGCAGGAAGAGGAAAAGGTTTTAGGAAGAGGGGATTAAGAAGTCACTGACCTGCAAATCCCCCTCATAGTAAGCAAGGAAGTTCTCTGTCAGCTCAAATAACCGGTTTTTGTAGTTCTGTGCATGGAATGTTTTTCCTTTAATTACTGCCCTCTTACATAGGACTCCAGCCTTAATAACAGGACCATAAACTCCATTGAGGCTTGGTCTTCCTTTAACCTTCTCGGGTAATCCGGACATCTTCAGATAACTGGCATGCTATGTTTCTGTGGGTGGAAAAAAATGTATCATCAAATGCCTTGTCAGATTATTTGGGCAATTCTAATCTTAAGATTAGAAAAAAAAAATATATGCATGTACATACTTTTCAATTACTGTTTCGTTCACGTGTGGGTTCCGGGGCCCTATTATAGGGAAAACAAGAATAGACCTACTGCCTACCCAAAAGAATGTCGTAAGAGTCGACTAATTGGGAGCTTCCGTCGAAGTCGGAGAGCATCTGCCTGAGAGGCAAGGAACCAACAGTCTGCATACAAATTAGTCAGATCTGTAAAACGGACGCACATGCAACACATAGGTTCTGGAACAGGACTGCAGCCCAGAAGTGGACGAATAACCAGAACTTTCTGCCAGAGTTTACAGCTGGTGAACACGAAGAAGAAGAAGAATTACTGTAACAATGGATGTATAATGCTTTTCCTTCTTCACTAAGCTATTCAACAAAAATATCTTATAAGAAAATATTCAGAATTTTAAATAAAAAAAGTAGTCAGCACCAGAACAAACAACTAAACTAAAGGTTTTGTCAGGTCCCCATGTGGGGTGGGACGCCATTATGTGGGGAAAACGAGGGTGGGAGAGAACAGAACCCCCCCCCCCCCCCATTAACACTGCGGCTAGAAAGTTTAAAAGCTTTCATCAGCACATGCTTACTACTTCACTTTCTTATTTTCAATACTGCTGATTGGTCTCTAAAATATAGTTCTAGCCCTAAACGCCTAAAGGCATGAAAAAGGGTCTTTAACTTGCTTAACTTTTATTTTTTTAAATTACCCCCCTCCCTCTCCCCCTAATACTATACAATAATTGATCTCAAGACTCACTTGACTTACAGATTTGAACTAACTATGCTTTAGAAGAATGGGCTATTTTCTGAATAACGGTCCCAAATTATCGAGGCAGAAAATATTCCCTAACAGAGCCTCAGTCACGTGTCAGTTGCACACTTCCGGGGACTATACCGCCACCGCCGAGAGTATCCTCCATGTGGCTCACGCGGCGTGGATTTGGGCTAAACTAGATAGCTGGGACTCACGAGCAAATAAAATGAAGACAGCTGCAGGAAATGCGGTAGCTGCTGCTCGTGAGTCCCAGCATCTAGTTTAGCCCTAATCCACGCAGCTACTCTCGGCGGCTGCGCAAGTCGCCGAAAGTGCCCAACTTAAGTTGCCGGAAGTGCACAATTGACACATGACTGAGGCTCTGTTAGGGTATATTTTCTGCCTCTATTATTAGGGACCGTTATTCAGAAGATAGCCGAAGAATATAATATTAATATTTAAGGTCCAGGACACTACATTTACTATCAAACAATTATTTAGTAAAATAATATTTTAATTTTTAAGGCTCTACTGGCAAATTTGGCCGGTAAGCTGGAATGCGTCGACTGCTTCGGCCGGCTTAGCGGGACTTAGTGGGAGTTATGTCCCCGTGGCCGCACTCAAAACAACGAGCGGAAAAAGTCACGAATCAAATGACATACTTACCTATCATCATCCGGGTGCGTGTAGGGCTGCGTAAGGTGTCTATCATCGTCCTACGGTTGCGTGTAGGGCTGCTTATTGCGTGTAGGTTGGTTGTTTGCGTAAGATGAGGGGTAGGGTTAGGGTTTAGGGTTTAGCGTTAGGGTTAGGGTGTAGAGTTAGGGTTATGGTTTAGGGTTTGGGATAGGGTGTAGGGTTTAGGGTATAGGGTTAGGGGTTAGGCTTAGGGCGAAGCTACAGCAACGTCGCAAACGTAAGGCATGCCATCTATCTGCACAAGGTAGTAGTCCACCAGACCAACGTCGTCGACGTCGCGCACAGTCACATACACACACAAACAATCGAGGGCCTGTGGATGTTGGTGACACGATCAATTCGCCAGCGACTGGGCACCAGCCGCCCGCTATTGGCGTCGTCATATTTGACAGAGTTTCAGTGGCGCCACTCCCACAAACGTCAAATTGTCGGCCACTATTTAGACCTCCTACGTGAAAATTTTCAAATCGAACCATACCCAAAAACCATAAACCCTAAAACCCTAACCCCTAAACCCTAACCTCAACCCCTAACCCTAAACCCTAACCCTACTTCTCATCTATCTTACGCAAACAACCAACCCTACACGCAAAAAGCAGCCCTACACGCAACCGTAGGACGATGATAGACACCCTACGCAACCCTACACGCACCCGGATGATTATAGGTAAGTATGTCATTTGTTTCGTGACTTTTTCCGCGACTTGTTGTGAGTTGTTTTGAGTTTGGCCAAGGGACATTACTCCCACTAAGCCCCGCTAAGCCGGCCGAAGCAGTCCACCTTACCGGCCAAATTTGCCAGTAGAGCCATTTTTAATGATTAATAATAAATTATAATATAAAGTATAAAGCAAGAGATGGTGAGATTTTCATTCATTGCATTGTGTTTTTTTATTACTTCACACAATTAATCCATTATTATAATTATATATAATAATACATCAGCACAGTAGTTTATATCTGTAGTCAAACATATTAGTTACTACCAGTTGAGTTCTAGTGCACTGTTAATGTTAAAGGTTAGAGTTAGGCACTAGAATCAAGAATCACTTAAACTAGGCACACTAGACTAGACTCAGAGTCTTATGTATGTGTCTTAGTAAGACTGTCTAGACACAAATCATAAATATTTTGGTTTTGTAAATATACTAAACTAAACGGAAAGTCAACTGTTCAAGTTAAGTGACTAGTTTAGAATAGTTAGTATAGGCTTTTTTTTAAAATGTATCAGTACAGGATAGATACAGAATTTAAGAGATCACCAGTCCAACAGCTCAGATAGTATTACTAACTGAAGTTCAGTCAAAAGGAACGGACAACGGCACGGGTCGCCGTCGGCTCGGAGCGAAACAATGGAACATTAAAATAAAATTACATCACTTTCCTCCTTCCTTCTAACACGACTACACTTTTCACACGGCATTTTACACCAACACGCCAACCCATAAATGGTCACAACAAGTTGTTAATTGTATATGATGATTATTAAAACAGTTCCAGACATATTAACTTACTAATAAAGTGACAGAAACACCAGAAAAATTCTCCCCAGACTCAGAATGTGACCAGGAAGTTGATCCTTTTCCACATTTTTTCCTGGTAATGTGTAAAATGCAAACCGGAGAATTTTGTAAACAAGACTTTTGGGAGGCAGGTGAAAACAACGTTGTATCCGAAACGTTATACAGTAGAAACATTTTAATACGAATTCCAATGGATCGGGGGGGGGGGGGGGACAACGAAATATGTATATATATATATATATATCTTCATAAAGTCAACCACACAGAGTATTTAAATTTATATAATAATAATAATATATATACAAAGGTAGAAAAGGTAAAGTCGGGAGATGTGAAGCAGCGTCATTGCACAAGGTTATAAACCATAAGTGCTCTGCCACCAGTACGGAGAGCTGATAAGAAACTGTCCGCAAGTAACTCCGTCGCTACAGCGACGTTCCTCCCTTCAACCCCAGAGTGTCAATTCTGGTACCCATTTCCAAGAGGCTGGGTGAACCCCGGGAACCACCCGGTTTCGAACACCGATCGTGGCTACAGCGAGTCGCAGCTGGATTTGAAAGCGAGCCTCCTATCGACTGTGGTAACGCGGCTCCCCGATATATATATATATGATACTTCAGTCAGTCTGTGGTAACTAATACCTAGGAATGAAAGTATTCCTAGTTCTATAACAAGTAACTCAACCTGCAAATTGTCACTGACAGCTTTTTTTTTTTTTTTTTTTGTAATTTCATTTTTTTTTTTTTTTTCAATTAAATAAGCTTTCAATTAAGGTGCATGCAAATTCGAAACACTGAAAACAGACAATGATATATCATAAGTTAACAGGCACAAGAAGTTAAATAATTTTCTTCCCAAATGTTATCTATAATTCTATACAAGATTTTTAAAGTGAACTTTGTATTGGTTCTGGGGCCCTATTATAGGGAAAACCAGAATAGACCCACTGACTACCCAAAAGCATGTCGTAAAAGTCGACTGATTGGGAGCTTCCATCGAAGTCGGAGTGCATCTGCCAGAAAGGCAAGGAACCAGCAGTCTGCACACAAATGAGTCAGATCTGTATTAAGCTTAGTTCATGTATGAAAGCGGCATTAGCTTTCAAAAAAGAAAAAAAAAACCACAATCGTTCCATGTTGTCAGCATTAAGGCAGCTTCTTGTCTCACTGAAGGTATTTCCAACTGTACTAAACAGACGTTCACTTGGTACGCTCGTAAGTGGTGCACAAAGATAATGCTTGACAGTATGAACCAAGGTGGGAAATCTTGATATGTTTATTTTCCACCGGTCCAGAAACTGGTATAAGGTAACCACTATTCGTATTCGGCCCGACCGCAACTATTCGGCCGAATACCGAATAGTTATTAGGTCCACTATTCGGCCCCGAAGCGAATATTCGGTACAGCCCTAATATATATAAATATGTGTGTGTGTGTGTGTGTATATATATATATATATATATATATATATATATATATATATATATATATATATATAATGTTAGTTGCGTATCCTTTACAGGACGTTGCAGAACCAGCCCCAGCATTTTTTGGCTGTTGTGGTTTTTCTAAATAAATTTTACGTTCAGTAGTTTGCCATTGCTCCCTAAATGGTCAGCTCTCGGGTCCACCGTCGAAACCAACGCACGACAAACCGTCCTCAGCTGGCATCGAACCCAGCATCCCGGCATTACGAAGCTCGTTCGCAACGCCTAAGCCACATACGCCGATACACACACACACACACACACACACATGTAGTTATGTATTTATTGAATCTGCCTTTACGTACATGATTTCCAATGTTTAATAATTTGTCATTTTAAACTTTCACTGTGTTTATTTTTGTTCTAAGAGACTAGTTCTCCTATTTACCCCCCCCCCCCCCCACTCTTTTCCCCCGCATACATTAGTTTTT